AAGGTCTTACTGACTCAAGAATTCCTGCTTTTTCCATTTATCCCTTCCTAGAAATGGGAAAGAGTAATGTGCATAACACAAAGAAGTACAACTTTTTCTACCCAGAAAGAATACAGAACCGAAGGGGCTAGACTTGGAAAACAACCACCCAATCAGAACCCTAGTGTACAGCAGTTCGAACACGTCCGGGCACGCTACGGAGGCAGGGGGAGAGTTCCCAGTGCCCGATGTCCAACCTTGTGATAAATTGGTGCCATCTGCCTCCGTTCTGGAGAACGCGCCTCATCATTTCAGAAATTTCTCTCTCTGCCCATCTCCCCTTCAAACTGGAAATTTTGAAACTAAGATTCCCTCAAGGTCCACTGTGGCAGCTGCTGAAGCAGAAGAAATGATAAGAGAATTCCCTGATACAGAATGACTGGGAGGAATGAGTAGCCCGTGGAAACAATCCACACCATGGCATATACCCTTCTCTAGAAGTGCTCTAGAAAAGTGTCGGGGCAAGGAGCAAAAAATGAAAGAAATGGAATGGTTTTCCTTTCCACTCTCCATCTTCATGAAAAATGTGAGAAGTAGAGAGTGTCTCCTCCCTCCTATGTATCTGTCAGCACATTTCCAGGAGGCCTGGCCACATCCCGGGCACCGGCTGGCTGGGGAACAGAGACTGACACAGCACATTCGTTCGCCCTGGAGCCCTCGCCTGGGTGGTCTGCTGTTATTCCTTTGATTAAACTCCCAGGCTGGAGGAGCTGGAGCTGCTCCTAATGATAGCTGGTCCTGAAATCTCACACTCGCCCGCACAGAGAGGGCCAGTGCTCCCTCTGAGTCGCAGCCTCCCACTCCTCTCCACAGAGCCGGGCTCCTTCACCACATTCTTCTGCTCATGAACAGCCCAGCCATAACCACAAAGGGCAAAGTCTGCGCAGGGTGCTGCGGGGCTACCACACGCCTCTCCCAGCACCAAGTGAGGCAGAGAAAGGGAGCAAGGAGCTCCCCTCCAGCACCGTCGGCTCCCACAGCGCTCCCCCCTCCCACAGGTGAAAGACGCTCCCAGAAAACCCTGCCTTTAGGGGTGTACGCACTGACTTCTAGAGAATCCCACCCCCCACAGATCATCAGCCTCTCGCGTGTCAAGGGAAAGAACTAAATCTGACCTGTTCTCTCTCTGATGTGTAAGGTACTTGCTGAACAATCATACACTAAGAACACGTGTCTTGCTCCAACATATTTAAAACGTGCACGTGCCGGCAAACATTTCTGAAGTGGCTACGGTGGCCACTTTGTGTGGCAAGGAAAGTCTGAGGGTCTCATGTATTCTAGGCTGTGAATAAAGTTAAATAATAACAAGAGGTAGGGAACACTATTACAAGCTAATAAATAAGGTTCTGTTTTTAGCCACACAAACCCGTAAGAATTTAGCCTCCAATGTAAATTCTGGGTGCTTCCAGAGTTTTATGATCAAATTCCGGGGTTGTCAAAGTACTTTGCTTCTTTACTTTCAGCTGGCTCACATTTCCTCAGCGTCTTCACCGGTGAGCAGGGAGGAAAAGGGGTGATGCTGCCTCACCCTCCACCCTGCCCTCCTCCGGCTACCTGAGTGACCCAGCGAAAAGGCAACGCCGCCTGGCTCTCTGTGGCCCGTCATCTCTGCGGTCAGGAGAAGTTCCCTCATGGAGAAAGCTCTCCGTTAAATCAGCCCTCGTCTTCTCTTCCAGTTTCCATCCTAGCTGCTCTCTGCTGATTCCCTATCTTCCAACACCACTACCCAGCTGGCTGTTATACAGATATACACACACATGTATACATACATATACATATGTACATACATACACATTGCTTGCAATGCTAGCTTTTGTTCTGACACCTGTCCTTACCCTTCCTCTCCCACACACGTGCCCACGTTAAGATTCAGTTTCAACATAATCTCTTCCAAGAAGGCTGCTCTGGCCCTGTCACTCCCACACACAGGCTAGGGTAGCCATTATCTTCTGGATCTGTCGTTACTCCCTAGAAACAGCTCTGGTGTGGCTATTCCACACGGGTACTCTCATGTGTTTGTGGGGCTGTCACCCTTACCAGATAGTGAGTTATTTTATGCCAAGGACTATGTCTTATATCATCCCTGCGGCTCAGTACCAAAGTCTGGAACATTCCTAAGAGCTTAATAAAATGTTTTTGAATGAATAAATTAAAAAACCACATTTGAATTAAAAGTTTTGTGAAGAATGCCACTAAAAGCTGTAAGGGACTAAACAGGTGAAATTACAGACAAAATAAAATGATTTTTCAAAAATGGGTCCAAGGATTTCCATTTTTTATACTCATTTTCCAAAACACAAACAATTTAACATTGGTGTTCCTTATTTAGCAGTAGGTCTCTTAACACCTTACCCAGAGGAACGATGTAAAGATACATCAGTTTATGGGCTATAATGAAAGTGATACTCGGAGGAAAATTCACAGCTTTCAATATAGTGACCAACAAGAGTGAATAAAAATAAGTACCCAACTCAAGAAGTTGGGAGGAAATAAAGCAAGAAAAAGCAGAAGAAAGAACATTAGTAAAGACAAAACAAAACAGTCAATTAGAAAACAATAAGAATAAATATATCCATAATTATCTTAACAAAAAAGGGAAGCAGGGGAAGAAAACATCAATCCTATTGGATAAAAAAAGAAAGAAAAAGGAAAAAAAGAAAAACCCCCACAAACACAAAATAGGAACTGGAAATAATCACAGGTAAAAAGCACTTGAGTGATTACTAAACATGAAGATTTCATGGTCCAAAGTGAGAGAGAAGGACAGAGTTGCCCTCACTTTGGGTCTACCTCCCCGCCCCCCAGTAAACACAAGGGCCAGAGCCCATATGAAGCCACTGTAACAAGTTATTATTTACTAGAAGAAGAATAAAAAAATTTCCAAATTCAAAATTAAGGAATTGCTTTCTCTGAGGGGAAAGAGCCAGATAACACACAATTGAGCTTTTCAATAACAAAGTTCATTTTGGTAATAATGTATCTTATCCAAACACTGAACTTTTTGAAATCAAATTAAAAATTACTTATTACTGAAAGACTTTTATGGCTGAAATATCAGTATTTCCCACATATATGGCATTTAGACTTTACAAAGAGGTTTTTGCATACTATCCTCGGGACCCTTTTGCATTTTCCCCAACAAATAAAGACCCTGAGGTTGACAGAAGCTGAGTGAACTCTTGGAGAGCACACAGCTAGTCAGGAGTAGAAGACAGATCCTCAGATGGCTAGTCCAGCTTGTTTTCCACCACCCCACCCTGCTTATTACAAACTACAGCCCCTCCCTCAGTACTGTACCAAGCACCAACTACCCTCTCACCAGACTTTAAGACTGACATCTAATGGCAAGTTCAGATCCCTACGAATAGGAGTCTGATGGACTTTTAATTCACTGGCAGTGAAGTTCTCCTTAGATAAGAAAGATGGACTGAAGGAAACAATTTTCCAATTAGGATACAATCACCCCAGAGTTCACACAGGATCCGAATCTTGCCATTTTGCAAGCTTTGTAGCTTCCCAGATGACAGAAGTTGAAAATATGTAAACACTAATATTGGCCATGTTTGTTACTGTGACTGCAAAGAAAATTTCCTAATGCCTTGATGCTTCTAGCTGCTCATTTATAAACTGGAAACATACACTCTTGTCAATGACCCAGTGAAAAACATGGAGCAGATCCCTGGCCCTCTCCCTTCCTCACAGCCACTTCACATTTCAAGGTTCCTTCCCATTTGACCAGGGTCATGACATCCTGGCCCCTCTTCCCAACGCTCCATCACTAAAATCTAACTTGCCAAACCCTGTCAAGTCTCCAAACTGTGCTTGTAGGATCCTTTGCTTCCTATTGAAATCAGTCCTCCTCATCTAATCCCTTCAAACTATTAGGGATTTGAACAAGAAAATTCATCACACCCTCACACACTGGGATGAGGCTGAAGAAAAGCTCAAGCTGACCTTTAATTCTGGTTCTAAATTTTATACAGAGAAACAGGGCACCACCAGGGAGCAGTGTGTTGCCTACTTTTAACATGTGGTGGAAAAAATTTCCAGCTTCACTTTTTTCTAGACTTGATTATCATTACAGAGTTGCCGCTAATTAAGACTGATACAACAGAGATATAGCAAAATATTTACCGTGGGGTTGAACTATAATAATTCCTTTGGAGGACTTTGATGCCATTTTGCATTAAGGAAAGGGAGAAGATGTGGCTTTCACTTCTGGTTAGGTACCATTCGGATAATCAGCAAGGAGGGCAAAAACAATCCCAAAGTTCCTGTGAAAGTTTCATCTAACTTCATTGTGTTATAAGCTTATTATCAATATATAGCTTAAGGTCAAAATTCTGGTATCTGCTTCTATCTATTAAGCTTTCTGAATGACCATGATTCTATCACTTATTCCAGCCTTAGTTTCCCCCATCTGTAAAATGGGGAGAATGAATATGTGTTGACTAAATGTGCACTGGGATCCTTTATTAATCAGTGCCCATAACACGTCCCGAGATCATGAATGAAAAGTGGTACTGTTAAAAAGAAGAAGAAGAAGAAGGAGAAGAAGGAGGAGGAGGAGGAGGAGGAGGAGAAGAAAGTAAAAGATATTGTTACGGCATTCTGGTAAAAAGATTTCTAAGACTAGAACTCACTGAAAAATTATACCAAAGAGAGAGTTATTTGTAAGGATCCGTTAAAAGTATATTTGACAGCTGAACATTCAAGTCTGCTTATCCATGAAACGAGGACATGAGAGCTAGTGGTAGACCTAGCTGGGGAATACCTGTAACAGAAGCTTATTTTCTTTAAAGATGAAGGGAACACTTTCACTCTTCAGCTCACACCAACTCACACTCCTTCAACAAGCATCAGCATATGGAGGATGAGCAAAGACAGGGAAGGCCCGAGCGCCCCGTGGTTAATACTGTCCTCGGAACAGAAGAGCTCCTGGGTCCTCGAGCTGTCCCTACCTGCTGGGTGAGGAGGCTGATGTGGGTGGCTGGGGAATACTGCCTGGCTGCCTGCTTCTCAGCCAGCCGCTGGAGCTCGGCCGTAACCATACTTGGGTTGTACCGTTTGCTGGACGGAGAGCCATCTTCCCCCTCTTTGTGTGTTTTAGCCACTCCCAAATGCAGCTTGTTTGGATGGCACGAACCTGCTAAAAAAAAAAGAGAAAAGTTTTCACCCACTTGGGACAAAAGCCCTGAAAAACTTAGGGTGATGACAATGAAATGTCAGCCAACAGATACTTGACTGAATCCCGGGGATCTTGACAACTTAAAGAGCAATAAACTCTCTTCGAATGCTCCCACCAATAAAAGTAAATCCTTACCATGCCCGAGAAAGTCTTCCTACTGCCAAGTTGTTACAAGCATTTATTAATGTGTTTTTGTTTATTATGAAAGCTTCACACACACAAGGTTGCATCATGGGCAGTGGGGAACAACCACTCCTAGAATTTACTGATCTTAATGAATAAACGATGTAGTTTTAAGACTTATTATAATTCTTATTTTTCTTGTTTTGTGACTCTTCTTGTCGGTTTATAACATCTACTATCAAATTAGCCACAATCCTTCTTACCAAGCTCAAAAAGGAAAACAGAAAAAAGCTAAACAGTGTATTTAGATAAAAACAGCAATACTCTTGGGGCACCTGGGTGGCTTAGTCGGTTAAGCATCTGACTTCGGCTCAGGTCATGATCTCACGGTTCGTGAGTTTGAGCCCTGTGTCAGGCTCCATGCTGACAGCTCAGAGCCTGGAGCCTGCTTCAGATTCTGTGTCTCCCTCTCTTTCTGGCCCTCCCTCACTCATGCTCTGTCTTTCTCTCTCAAAAATAAAACATCAAAAATTTTTTTTAAAAATCCAACAATACTCTTATATTTTCAAATGACTCATTTTCCTTTCAGATTTCAATGCTCTTCTTCCAACGGAAAATATCAGAGTCCTATTATTTGGGGGCAGTAAAATTCTGGCAAAAAGAAATTATTTAATAGAAAATCAAGGTTCATATTTTTTCTATGATGGAAGTCACACATTTCACTGAAAACAATGTTAAACCTAGGAAAGTAGAAACATTCTAATGTGTTTCCTTTCTGTCCTTACAGAACCGTGACCACTCGGTAATATACAACCTGGGGACACGGCTTTAAAAAAATCTGTAACTTTTTTGTGTTGACTTTATTGTGCGATACATAGAAAATATTATATACAACAGATGTGCTAAGCTATAGAGAATATTACAATGAATGCCTGTGAACTTGCTACCCAACTCAAAAGCCACATTACCAATTAATGTGCAACAACTCTGTCTTTCTCTTGGGACTTACCTTATCTCCCTTTATCATTCATTCCCCTCTTTTTTGGCCATACTTTTATGTATTTGTGGGTTTGTCAATGCATATTTAAAGTACTAGATAATTTTGCTTGGTTTTGTGCTCTACAAAAGTGGTATCTTACTGTAACTGTGCCCTGGGATTTGCTCTTGTCGTTCAACACCATACTGTCAAAGTTCATCTTTGCTAAGCGTAGCTAAAACTCATTAATTTATCCGCTGCTTGGTAATCCATTTTGCAACTATACTACAACTTCTTTTTCTATTTCCCATTAATGGGTATTTTGGTTAACTCAAGCTTATTGCTATTATAATGAGTGCAGCTGTGATCGCTCTTGAATACACTTCCTGGTGCGTGTAGGAATCTCTTACATAAATATGCCTACGAATGGGATTGTTGAATCAAATTTATGTGATAATACCAAAGTGGCATGTTTTACACTCCCACAAGAAAAATATGAGAGTTCCTGTTGGTCCACACCCCCTCCAACACTTAGTATTGTCAAATATCTTAATTCTTCCCACTTCTAAGGGGGTGAAAATCTCATTATAGTCTCCATTTACATTCACTGATTAAGATGCCAAAGATGGTATCTTTTCTGATACCACTGATCATTTTTCTATTGGTTTCTCTATTTCTTACTGATTTATGAGAGTTTTGCTTATGTTTTCACTTGCTTCATACCATACGACCTTAAAGATGGTCTCCTTTATTTTGTCCTAGAAGTTTTAAGTTTTGCATCTGAAATTGGTATGAGTCAGTGATCTAACTGCATTTTTGTCCTTTGTTATTAATCAATTATCCCAGCACCACATATTGAGAAACCTCCTCCTTTCCCCTATGTACAATGCCATCATGGTCATGTATCAAAGTTCCATCTATCTGTGTGATTGTCTCTAACTTCCTATTCTGTTCCGTTAGTCCATTTGTCTATACCTTTGCCAATACTACACTGTCTTAATTATCATATCTCTATATAAGTCACAATAACGTGTTCTTCCACCTTATTTTTCTTCTGTCGTAGGTTCTTTCTATTCTTGCCATTTAGAATGCGTTTGTCAAGTGTAACAACAGACCTGTTGAAGTTCTGGTTGGAACTGTATTGAATCTAGGAATCAACCTGATGAGAACGGAAACATTTATGACACTGACTCTTTTCATCCATGCACATAGTCTTTTTAATCTATTTTATTTAGGTTCTCTCTAATGTCTCACAAAAAGCCTTATGATATTTCCTTTCTTTCTGAAATTTATCCCTAAATTTTATTCCTAAATTTATTGTTTTCTTGGTAGTGACTGTTACACAACAATGTGAATGTACTTAATGCCACTGAACCATACACTTAAAAATAGTTAAAATGGGGGATGCCTACATGGCTCAGTTAGTTAAGCGTCTGCTTTTGGCTCAGGTCATGAAATCCTGGTTCATGAGTTTGAGGCCCATGTCAGGCTCTGTGCTGATAGCTCAGAGCCTGGAGCCTGCTTTGGATTCTGTGTCTCCTCTCTCTCTGCCCCTTCCCCACTCATACTGTGTCTGTCTCTCTCTTGGTCTCAAAAATAAATAAACATTAAAAATGTATTAAAAATAGTTAAAATGGTAAGTTATATATACATTTAGCCACAATACAAAAAGATTGCTTTCCAAAAAATTTTTAGTTTAGAGAGTGGGAGGAGGTAGAGGGGCAAAGGGGGGAGCATCTTAATCAGGCTCCACACTCAGTGCAAGAGCCCAATGTGGGGCTCGATCCCATGACCCTGGGATCATGACCTGAGCTGAAATCAAGAGTCAGAGGATCAACCAATTGAGCCACCCAGGCGTCCTCCAAAAAGTTGCTTTCTAGCTCTTTGTTGTCAATATACAGATGAAGCTACTGATTTTTAATACTGATCTTACAGCCATCTATACTGCTAAAATAATTACTTCTGAAATGTATCTGTTGATTATTTCCAGTTTCCTATGTAGACAATATATTATCTGCAAATAAACAACTTTATTTCCTCCTTTTTGATCCTTATGTTTTTAATTTCTTTTCCTTATCTTACTATGCTGGTTCTGGTAAAACATTAAATAGAAGCAGTATGTTTTTTTACATGTTTTTAAAAAATAGCAGTATTAGTGGGCATCCTTTATGGTTCTTAACATTAAAAAGAATTCTTTCAACATTTCTCCATTTACACTGATACTTTTAAAGAGCGCACACGTGAGTGGAGAAGAGAGGCAGAGGGAGAAAGAGAATCCCAAGCAGGCTCCATGCTCAGTGGAAAGCCTGATATGGGGCTTGATCCCACAACCCTGGGATCATGACCCTCACTGAAACTAAGAGTCAGATGCTCAACCGACTGAGCCACCCATGCGCCCCTACACTGATACCTCTTGTAGGGGTGTTGGCAGATAGCCTTTATCAGCTCAAGAGAGCTTACTTCTCTTCCTAGTATGCTGTTTTATCACAAATGGGTGAAGAATTTTATCAAACTCTTTTTCTGCATCTACTAAGATGAATATGGTTCTTCTCCTTAAATCTGTTGATGCAAATGTCATTTATAGATTTTCTAATGCTAAACCCCTCCTGCTGTTCCTTGGATAAACTCGTTCATGGTGTCCTTTCTCTTTCACAGGATTTGCTTGATTTGGCTAGCTTATATTTTGATTAGAATTTTTGCATGTATGTTCATAAACGAAACTGGTCTACAATTTCCCTCTCTACTACTGTCCTCAACTGGTTTTGTTATTAAGATTAAACTGGGCATACAGAATGAATTGAGAATTATTGTTTCTTTTCTCATTCTCAAGAAGAGTTCAAGACTGGAATTATCTGCCTCTTGAAAGATTATTAGAATTTATTTATGAAATTATCTGGGTCTCAAATTTTCTTGGTGATATTTTTAACTATTGTTTCAATGATCTTAATACTTACAGGACCGTTGAGGCTTTCTTCATCTTTTTATTTAAAAATTTTTTTTTATAGTTTATTTTTGAGAGAGAGACAGACAGAGCATGAGTGGGGGAGGGGCCGAGAGAGAGAGAGAGAGAGAGAGAGACATAGAATCTGAAACAGGCTCCAGGCTCTGAGCTGTCAGCACAGAGCATGATGTGGGGCTTGAACCCACAAATGGTGAGATCGTGACCTGAGCTGAAGTCAGCCGCTTGACCGACTGAGCCACCCAGGTGCCCCAAGGCTTTCTTCATCTTTTAAGTCAATTTTACATAAGTTATATTTTTGTGTTTGTCCATTTTGTAAGTTTTCAATTTTATTGGAATAAAGCAGTATTCTTTTTGTCACCAATGCAATGTATGTACATTCGTCATTTTTCCATTCCTTCTATTATTTATCCATGTCTTCTTTCTTTTCTTTCAGTTTCACCAGAGGTCTGTCCATCTTATTAGGGTTTTCAAAGAACTTTTGGCCTCGATATTCTCTGCTATGCTTTATTTCCGAATTCTGTGATTTTTGTCCTTATCTTTATTATTTTTCTTCATTTAGATTTATGATGTTCTTTTATAATGTCTAAAATTAAATATTGAGCACATTAATTTTCAGCCTTTCTTCTTTCATATATAAGTTTTAAGGCCAATAAATTTCCCTCCAAATACAGCCTTTTATTGCTCTCTACACACTTGGACACACAATTTTCTCATTATCATTCAGTTCTACTACTTTTACATTTACCTCTACTATGATATCTTCTTTGACACTTTTCATTTTTTAAGTTTTTATTTAAACTCCAGTTAGTTAACATACAGTGTAATATTAGTTTCAGGTGTACAACATAGTGGTTCAACACTTCTATGTGACACCTGGTCTCTGACTCTTAAATTTGAGGATTTGTCATTTTTTGTATCTTTTTGTTATTGCCATTCAATTTAATTACAGTGTAGACAGAGATTGTGGCCCTATGATAGCAATTCTGTAAATTGTGTCTTATTTTATAAAAGTTGTCTTATTTTATAATGTAGGACATGACTGGCTTTATGAATACATTATGTGTTCTTTGGAAGGTGTTTTCTCTAATTATTGGGTACACAGTTCCTATGTATGATCAACTGATAAAATTTATCAACCTGTTAGAATGCTCTTTATTGTTGCTGATTTTAAAAAATCTGTTTAGTCCATCTGCAACTGATAGAAGTTCATGGAAATCTCCCACTAAGACAAGGAGATCTGTAGATTCCTCAGGTACCAATCTTTGTTTTATATATTTGGAGGTTATTTTATTAAGTGCACGTAGAACTGTTTTGCCTTTCAGATGAACTAAATAAATCTTTACCTTTTGTCTTATGTAATTCCTCTCTGTATCTATAAGAAATTTTTATATCTTTTTTAAAAATGCTTATTTTGATGGGCACCTGGGTGGCTCAGATGGTTAAGCGACTGACTTCAGCTCAGGTCATGATCTCACATTTTGTGTAAGTACAAGCCACACCTCAGTCTCTATACCGACAGCTCAGAGCCGGAGGCCTGCTTCGGGTTCTGTGTCTCCCTCTTTCTTTGCCCCTCCCCTGCTCGTGCACTGTCTCTTCTCTCTGAAAAATAAATAAATGTTTAAAAAATAGAATAAAATGTTTATTTTGGGAGAGAGACAGAGAGAGGGGAGAGCGAGAATCCCAAGCAGGCTCCGTGCTATCAGCACAGAGGCTGTCGCAGAGCTCAGACTCACAAACCATGAGATCATGACTTGAGCTGAAATCAAGAGTCAGATGCTTAACCGACTGAGCCACCCAGGTGCCCCAAGAAAATTTTATATCTTAAAGTCTATTTTAGCATATATAATATAGCTACACTACGTTTCTTCTGGTTGGTATTTACATGGCATTTCGTTCTTCATCCTTTTACTTTCAACTGCTCTATATTCTTATCTTTAAGTGTATCCTTTCTGGTAAACAAAATACATAATTCTGGTAAACAGACTATATGAACTTCTAACAAGTTCAACCCAGTTATATTTATTTGATTCTTGACATATCCGGACTTGGTTTACCATCTTTTAAGTTTCATTTCTCTTGCTTTTTCTAAGCTTCTTGCTCAATCCATTTTTCTTCTTCCCATAGGTTTAGAATATCCATATTTTTACTCTTTTAGTGGTGACCTTTGAAATTTCATACTGTATATTTATCTTTAAAAAGTCTAAAGTTAAATAATATCTTAATCTCACTCCCAAACTATTCAATAACCACAGAAAAATTTAACTCAAATCATTTCCAGGCTGTTATTGTCATTTACTATATTGTTGTCTACTACTACTTTAAGCCATTCAGAATGTTCTCTGACCACTGTGGAAATAAGCTTAAAGCCAATTACAAGAAGTAGAGAATGCCAACTATCTGAAAATTAAACAATATACTTATAAACAATCCATGAGTCAAAGTATAAATCACAACAGAAATCAAAAAATATTTTTGAACTGACTAGCTCCTTCTGTTCCCTCTCTCTCTCTGGGAAAAGTGTAAAAAAGGAAGGTTGGGGGTTTTTTTTTTTTGTTTTTTGTTTTTTGTTTTTTTAAGTTTTGATAATACAGGGTATTGGAGACACTAATTTTGCTGAATTTCTCTCAAGTGGGAGAAAACAGTTCAAATCAGAACATCATCATTATTATTACTGATTTTAGAAGATTAGATCACAAGAATAGCCACTCAGAATTAGTACAGACACACATACATGCACATATTCATAAATATGACTTATTAAAGTAGACATTTAATATCTCTGATTCAAGCTGCATATTATAATATCCATCTCATTTGAAATCAGATACTAATTAAGAAATATAAATTGACTACTTACAAAACATAGCTTAGCTGTAACTTATATTAACACGGATTATTACTGAAGTGTTTAAAAACTTGACTAATAGTAAGGTATTTCCCAAACGAATCTATAGATTCAACACAATACCATCCTGATCCCATCTGCCTGTTTTTGCAAAAATGGACAAGCTGATCCTAAAGCTCATATGAAAATGCAAAGGCTGCAGAACAGTCCAAACAAAATGGAAGAAAGGAACAAAGTTGGAAGAATCACTCTTGGTGATTTCCTAACTGACTGTAATGCTACCATAACAAAGCAAACCGGTACTGGTATAAGGACAGACATAGAGATCAGTGTAACAGAACTGAGACTCCAGAAAGAAACCTTTACATTTGTGATTAAATGATTTTTGACAAGAATGTCAAGACAATTCAACAGGGAAGTAACACTGTTTCAACAAACGGTGCTGGGACAACTGAATATACCTAGGCAAAAGAATAAAGTTAGGCCCTTATGCCACATCATACACAAAAATTAAATTCAAAATGGATAAAAGACCTAAATGAAAGAGGTTAAACTATAAAATTCTTAGGAAAAACATATATATAAATCTTTGTGACCTTGGGTTAGGCAATAGTTTTTCAGGTATGATACCAAAACCTAAGCACAAAAGAAAAAGGATATATTAAGCTTCATCAAAACTTAAAACTTTTGTGCTTCAAAAACATGAAAGGATGACCGACAGAATGAGAGACAGTATTTCAAAACTATGTATCTGACAAAGGAAGGAATTGTATCCAGAATACATAAAGAACATAACTCAACAATAAAAAGCAAATACCCCAATTTAAAAATGGACAAAGGATTTGAATAGATATTTATCCAAAGAAGGTATACTGATGGCCCATAAGCACATGAAAAGATGTGCATCATCACATCATTAGTCATTAGGGAAATGCAAAATGATAACCACAAATATGAGACACTACTTACTTCAAACCCACTAGAATAGGTGAAGTCAGACAGACAGACAACAGTGACAGCAAGGAGGTGGAAAAACTGGAAGCTTCCCGCACTGCTGGCAGCAAGACAGTGCAGTCACTTTGAAAATAGGTCGGTAGTTACTCAATAAATGGAAGCATAAAGTTACCGTATGATCCAGTGATCCCACTATGTATACACCCAAGAGAAATGAAAATATAGGTCCAAACAAAAAATCGTACACAAACGTTCACAGCAGCAGTATTCACAGTAGCACATAAGGGAAAACAACCCGGATGTCCATCAACGGATAAACGAATGAACAAAGTAAGGTATATCTGCCCAATGGAACACTCTTCAGCCTACATTCCTACAAAGGAATGAAATACTGACACATGCTACAACATGAATGAACCCTGAAAACATTGTAAGTGAAATAAGCCATTTACAGAACACTACTCACTGTGCGATCCCACTTACATAAAATGCCCAGAGTAGTCAAATCCAGAGTAGTCAAATCCAGAGACAGAAAGTAGTTCAGTGGCTGCCAGGGCTAGGGGGGTGGGGGAAGCGGACAGAGACTGCAAATAGGTATGGGATTTCTTTGAGGAAAATGAAAATGTTCAGTGGTGTTGGTTGCACAACTATGTAAATATACTAAAACCCACTGAACTGCACACTTTCAAGTGGTGAATTTTATAGTATATGAATTATATCTCAATAAAGCTGTTATTAAAAATGGGGGGAACCTGACTGATAATATGAGTTTACCTACTTCATTTAGAGTTAGAGACCTTCTTTTAAGAATTCTTTGGTTATTTTATTCGGGTCATACTTGACTTTAAATACACTAAAAAATAACTATTTGAATCGCAAAGAATGCATATGGCACACTCATAGGTCTATGAGGATCTGTGAGGGAAAATCTCCTGACTAGCCTATAAGCCGCTACTATATAGAACAGTCTTCTTCATCTCTGTACCGGCAGCACCTCAAAGAAGCCCTGTTTCAGTCTGTATCAGCGAATGCACGCTACTGGACCAAATGCAAGACTTCCTCGGTCTCCTCAGAACAATGCGTGTGTCCCTTTGCCTTTCAGGAGAAAAGGCAAAAGGAAGAGAATGCATTCTTTGGGGGTGGAGGAGCTGAGAGAGGAGCTAACATTGCAGGCTGCCTTTCATTTTCTCACTCACCTGCCTTTGCTGAAGAGGGACGAGACAGTTTCTGGCTATAGATGTGTGCGGCACTTTGGAAAGAGGAAAAGGGGCCAATGGTGTAAGTGCCTGATCGACAGCGTGGCAGGCCCGCCGGGCTTGGAGCGTTCTGGGTCCCAGGATGTATGAAGGGAGAAGTACTGTCAGGGACTGTGCTCAGGACAACTGTTGGCTGGTGAGACAGGCTGGGGTTAGCTGGAGGAATCTGAGATAAAGAAGAGTGATGGCCAGGCCCTGGTGAGAGGTCAGAGGTTGTAATAATAGATGACAAGTGGGTATTGGGAATTTTCTGCAGAAGAGTGGCAGCAGGACCAGAGAAAGAAGCAGAGGAAGAATTGGTATAGACTAATTTAGCCTCTTTTCCTGCTGAAGTGGTAAATCCTATTAAAACAAAAACAAACAAAATAAAACAAAACAAAACAGATCATTTTAGGAAAAGCTGACATATAATCTCTATAAAACATGAAGTAAACATTTTTAAACATCAAAATAATCTTAGCATGAAATAGAAGTCATGAAAGATAGAGCCTTTAATGAGTATTCATCATGAACTTAATGAAGTTTGCCTACTGAGACAACCTGGCAAGAGAAACCGTTTTTTAGTCCTTTCTAAGAGCTGGAGTGGAGACCGCCTCCACCAAGCAGAGCAGGCATTTTACAAATGTTAGGGCATTAGGACAAAGTTTCTGGTAATGAGAGCTAATTCCCCTGCTTTTCACCCTTCGGGGGTGGGGGGGAAGTGCTCAGAATTTCTAAATATTAAGAAAATGCAAAATTCCTCAGAAGGAAAATAGGTTATCAATAAATACGAGGAAACTCTAATGGAAGAGAAAGAACAAACAAAAGAACTTCTTTGGGGTAACGCCCCATGCTATAGCCTCATTTACTATCTCCTCTTTGATAGAGATTGATCAGAGAGTGGCAAATCTATGTAGGTGTGAAGTCACTCACGAGATAATTTATCAGAGTGAATTTCTGTCGTCTGCTGTTGTTTGGGTTGCTTTATTTTCACTTCTTCCATTGTCTCATGGTGATCTGAAACAAAAAAGAAATACTGATCAAATGCCCTACATATAATTTTGTTTCTCAAATATAACACAACTAAATAAACAATCCCAGGGAAAACCGCACATGTCACCACACTTTCCCAAAGCTGGCCACATCCACAGCCCTGCTGAGGGGGCAACCAACCAGAAGATTCCCAACGACCCCCAACCCCAGCTCCAGCTAAGCAAACCAGGGAAGGATACTTAAACCCAGGGCAGCCATGGGGAACATGGGCAGCTGGGACATGAGGTTGGGGGGGCCGGAGGGAAAGTAAGGGCAGTCAGATGCCTCTGTCAGGAATTCAAACTAGGGAAACTAAGAAACCAAGCTAGCTGGTGGTACCCCCCAGAGCAAAGAAGTCACCATACACACAGAGCAGGGCAACTACCAAGAGACAGAAAGAACAGCCGCCATTTCTGTGGGCATGGTACCTGGACACTGCTACAGCTCTGTATCTTAAAGTAAACTCCTTGCTTTTACTTGAGCAAGCTGAGTGAGTTCACTTGAGATAGGGTGGTCAGTATATTCAATAACAGAATCACTCTAATAAAATAAATTTCCACTCAAATAAACCTTTTTTTTCCCCCACCACAGACTTGTGAAACAAGACAGCCAGGGCTAACCATATACTTAGGGAAATATTCCAAAACCTTTCTCAAGGGCTAGTTTATATAAAAGCTTAAGAAAGGCCATTTTACAGATCATCTTTCAGAATGAATGATTAAGGACATATGAATTATTTGCTGCCTATCGCCACCAGCCGCGGTAATACCGTCACAAGTGTGTTTGCTCATGTTTGCAATCAGTCCGGATACTATCAGATGTCATAGTGTCATAGTGTTGTTTCCCTGATTCAGGCCTTCCTACTGCCTCTCTCATTATTCTTGTCAGGGATGGGTCTTCTTATGTAGAGATGGTCCTTACCACATGAACCCCAGAATTTCCAGGGGCCCACATGTATGGACAGATGCTGCAAAAACATGCCATCAGGGCTTCCCCACTACTGTTGGGGGAGAAGGTACTACTGAATGCCAATGTAGGCCCTCAGCTCTCCAGGCTAACACACTTTTCTCTACCCCAACGCATTACAAGGACTCCTCAGCCTCTTCAGGCTCCCTTTCTCAACACTTACAGGAGCAGCTTTTCAAAGCTTCCACCAACCTTCTTCCTACATTTACTCACCCAACTCCATCTACTAGACAATAAACCTTATGAAGTCAAGGTACCACAGCAGTCCAATCACTATACCTAGCAACTATCACAATGTCTGACACAGAACAAGTGGTCTGGAAAAATGTGTAGAAGGAATGAAGAACAAATGAATAAACAAGCTTTAGAACTTAGAGAAGCTATGAATGCTTAAAGAATTGGGCTGATGTAGGCACTTATAGAAATATCAGTCAATTATACAGTGAGCTCGATATAAATGGGCTTTTGTAGACAAGGCTCTGAACCAAAATAGTTTTTAAAACATTAACATTGTTTCTTTGGGAACACTCACTCTACATTAAAGTGACCAATTATCCTGGCTATTTCCACCTTAGACTATGGGAGTCTTAACAGCAGGGAATGAGTCTCCATTTTTTTTTTTAATGTTTATTTATTTTTGAGACAGAGCATGAGTGGGGGAGGGGCAGAGAGAGGAGGAGACACAGAATCTGAAACAGGCCTCAGGCTCTGAGCTATCAGCGCAGAGCCCAATGTGGGGCTCGAATCCACCAACTGTGAGATCATGACCTGAGCCAAAGTCGGACACTTAACTGACTGACCCACTCAGGTGCCCGAGTCTCCATCTTTTAACCTAGTGCTTCGTCTACTAACAGGAATTGGTGTAGATTTCCTTTGTCTTATACTTCCATCTAGATACTTTAAGGTACCGAGCTTTATTTATAACAGAACATCACTGCTATTTTTTTTTTTTAATCATATGATATGAGCTAGATAGTTCGGTCCACATTAATTCCAAAATCCCCAATCATGGAGCCCTAGCAGTGAGCGCTTTTAGAAATGGATGGGAACATTCTGGGTTATCTCAGTGGCTGAAGAAAACTAATAGCATTTAGGATGTGGGATTAAGGATATTAGACATCCTACCAGGTACAGAACAGTCGCACACAACAAAAAATTCTTCTACCTCAAATGCCATTGCTGATGAGCTAGAGGAAGCAAGAAGTTTCACAAGAGTGGGAAACAAACAACCATTAGGAAAGACAGAAGAGCACAGATTAAGAGCACAAGCTTTAAGCTGGGCAGACAAAAGTTCAAATTCTTGTCCCACTGCACCGTGAAAGGTACCTTTAAGCAAGTTACTCAGTCTCTTTCAGCTTCTGTTTTCTCATTTGTCAGAAGGTGAAAAGTAACACCCACTTCACATGGTTTTTGAAAGTAACAAAATCAAATCACATCCAACAGATTATAGTTATATGAGCACTCACTAAGTGTTAGCAATTATTATTAGCTTGCCCTGAAAAGCTTTCTGCTGTTAATTTTCATTAAAAAAAAAAAAAAATCAGACCATGTCCCTCTTCTGCTTTGAGGACAAAAATGTAATGCCTCCTCACGGCCCACCCCCACACTGCAAAATTTCACCACTTCGGAGTCTGTTAGTGCTTAGGCAGCACATTATTCTTGGCTCTCCTTTGCAGATCTCATTTTTTCACCCGTTCTTCTTATTTTTCATTAATTAGCCATCATACTTACCACCCTTTGCCCTGCTATCAGAATAACTGTTGCTGTTTTTAGAACTTTTTGAGTGAGTCCCCAGGAAGACACTTGCAGACTTGTTTTTTTGGGTATAAAAAGTCAACACCTCCTCCAGTTCAGCTTCACTGAAATGATGAGAGAGAGTATGGTCAGAACAGGAAGCTGTTCTGGAAAATCTTTCCACCAGATTTTATTATGGAAATGGAGTCAGCTGGAGAAGGGGAAAATAAAAAGTATGAGCTGAAAACTCCCTATTAATAGATGGTTAAATAGGAACACAAAGCAATCTAAAAAATTTAAAGCATGATAAGGCTTTATTCATCCCATGGTGAATTTTCCAGATGCACTGTCCAATATGGTAGCCACTAGGCATATAGGACTATTTAAATTTAAATGAATTAAAATTAAGTACATTTAAAAATTCTTCTCAGACCAGCCACATTTCACATAGTCAGTAGCTACAACGCAGAAGGTTCTGTTGGCAGCCATGTTCTCTGTCAGAGGTCAACAAACTGCACACTAATAACAATAAGGGGTCAAACCCGACTAGCAACCTGTTTTTTTTGGTTCCTTGCTAAAACTGGTTTTTATATTTTTAAAGAAGACAATGCTATAATGACCACATATATCCCACAAAGTCTGAAACATTATTATCTGGCCTTTCACAGTCTGCCCACCCCATGGCCAGATAACTGAAGTGTATTCACTAACGGGGTCACTTGTCATTTTAATTATCTATGTCAGAAATAAGACCTACCAGCATAACCACAGAAGAGTTTCCTAGCTATCTAGTCCATGACGGAAACGGAAATAGATGGTTCTAGGTCACTTCAAATGTTGAAATGATCTGCCCTTTATGATCATCCGCAAAATGGAAAGTATAAGGAATCTGATGAGGGCCCACAAGATTCTCCCAGGAAACATACTACGTGCGGATTTTTAACACTCGTGGCAGTTTCTCAATGGCCCTTTGTATTTTTTTTCCTGGAGCCTGGATGTATTCGAGATAAGTGGTCTTTAAACAGGCAAAATATTCCAGCATTATCACAAAGAACCTATATCCCATCTTCAGAATACATTGTAATGACAACCTAGGAAAATGTTTCTACAAATCTCAGAGTAAACTCCATGGTCTCCAAAGTGGTGAGAGTCAAGTGCCATGAGGTAAGTACCTCAGTAACTGTGAAAGATCTACAGTTGAGGTTACAAATGGGGTGAATGCCTCTGCATGTCCATGTGCTTTTTTTGGCCCTTCACAGAAAGGGAAAGGGAAAGGTTAAGGCTGACCAAAATACAAACTGCCTGATACCTCCTCTCTTACCCTTTGTCCACTTCATAATTCATGTTCTCTTGCCTGACTCCTGCAGGTATCTAGATTTACCAACCTTGACAAAGGTATCCATGTACCTCCCCAAACATAATAAAACATAATAAAAAACTGAGGCTAGAGCGTATTTCCAACAATCAACATTAAATGCACAATAGTAATAAATATGTTCCAGCATATTTTATCTCTAATTCTGGATCACTAGTTTTAGTAGATACTTTCTAGCAGTTAGGCCTGATAGAATACATATCACTTTTCAAAAGGTGGCTTTTCTTTTCCTTTTTTATATAGTAGGGATCTTGAAGATCCCCAGGAGGAACTAAACATTAATCTTCTAACTTTAAATGTAGAGACATTTTCTGAGCATAATCTAGTTTTTGTTCCTTCCTATTTTTATCATGTTGATGTAAGAAACTGTTTCTTGCTTTGTTTCTATACCTCCATTATCAATCATGTAACTCAAGACTCAAGAATGTCAACAGAATAACATTACACAGTTATGAACTCCTACAAAATGATGTATTTGTTTGCTGTGTGTTTAAGCACAAGATAGTGAGGCTATACAAAGTCTGTACAAGGTATTAAACACAGATCAGATGATGTTGGTGACTGATAAACCACCACCTGATTTAGCTTCATAAACCAACAAAGAATTGACTTTCTCCTGCTTGTCACTCCACAGTGACTTTGATGGTTGAAGACTAACAGGGTTATAGAGATGTTTTATCCTTTATTTGAGTGGTTTGTATGACTCTCTGTTTTAGAAAAAGGTCCTCCAGTATGAATCTCACAAAATTTTAAGTGAAATGCTTTTTTGTGTCCATTTCCTTTGGAAACACATTGTAAATGGACAAAATGGCCTGACTGATTTGTATCAAGACAGAGCTGAATGCTGAGATTTCCATCCTTAAAGCCTACCTCTACGCATAAAGGACTTGTTCCATTTTATATAAATTAGGTGTATCCCTCATGGTACTGAGAAACTGTCACTTCCTCAACCCACTCAACTTAGGCAAAATTTGGTCATCACGACTGCATCAGTAGGTCAGGCATAAACTAAGATTCAGTAAACACTGGAAGCCTCTAACTTCAGCTTTCCAAAGGGCTCTTTTAGTACTTCAAGTGGTGTGTGCTTTGAAGGCTGTCTAGAAATACAGCGCAGGTACCCAGCATCAGCGTTCCGATATCTGAAACCATGAGGACAACAACATAATCGGCTGAGAAATGGAGAGGCCAAACCTATGAAACTCACTCTCTCATCCACAGAGGGATTTTACTCCCGTTCCCATGTTGGAAACAAGGAAATACTGAGAATTGAATGGGGCAGTATGGAAGACAGAATAAGATAGTTTTTATTAATAAAGAGTATCTTCTACCTTGCTTGTCTGATGAACTCCTGAAAGTTTTCTGTATTCACCCCATCTTCCTCCTCTTCTTCAAGTTTCTTCTTTGATTTCTTTTCAGCCATCTGTTCTGTTTCCTACCCAGTACCCAACCCGCAAAGGAAAACAGTAAGATAAAACTGACTCCTGATAGATGCATACTTCATCATTTGGTTTCATTACCATCGGGCTATTTTGTCTTTATAGTAGACACAATTCCTCCAGGTACTTTTGCCACCTATAAACTTGATATATTATTCTCTGCCACTATTTCATAAAACATTTGGCATTTCCAAATAAAAGGTGCAGAATAAATGTAAACTCTTATCATCTTTTTACTTTCTGCCCACAAAGCCCATTGAGAGAAGAACTTTTCATAACAGCTTAGTAACATCTGTGCTCACAGTTGCAACTTCACCAGTATGAACACAGAGATACTGCATTTTATTAAAATTAGGGAAAGGAAAGCTCGGTCTTGGAATGTAGTCCTATACCAGCATCCAAAGAGTAACTTCTTCACTTATATAAGACATACCAAAATCCTCAACAGACCTGGAGTAAATTGCAGCTATGGATTTTTTAATATTAATATTCTACTAATCATTCCACACATCTTTACTAACATCACTTAAATTTCCAGGTCTCCATTTTCTCTTCTGCAAAATGACCATACTTTTTCTCCCAAATACTGTATTTCCAAAGCATTCTAAGACCCTTGGATATCAGATGCTTTGCAAAATATTCTAACTAAATAGCATATTTCCTGGTCTTGGTTGTAAAATGATGTCACTGTCTAAAACGTTCTCAAAAACAAAGTATAACTCTCTCCGGAAAAGAGATTATGTCATTCTATTAAATCCACTGTTCATTTGCTCTCAAATAGTCAATTTACCACTGTCTACAGGCATCATAATGACAATGCAAATTAATCTAGCCCAAGATTCATCTCAGATACAGCAACACTCAAAGGGAATTTGCCTTTAAAAAAAAAAAGTTTATTTATTTATTTTTTAAGAGAGAGTGAGAGAGCGAGCGTACAAACAGGGGAGGGCAGAAGGGGAGACAGAGGATCTCAGGCAGGCTCCACACTGTCAGCACAGAGCCTGATGCAGGGCTTGAACCCATGAGCCATGAGACCATGATGTGAGCCAAAACCAGGAGTCGGGCACTTAACCAACTAAGTCACCCAGGCACCCTGGGAATTTGCCTTTTGATAAGCATTAACTATAGCGACTGGGCTTTCAGAAGTAATGAACAGCTTTTCAGACCAGGTGGGTTAAGGAGTGAGGTCTAGCTCCCTGTAACAGTTACACACAAGGGATGACAATGATAGAAAAGAAAAGAACCTCCCCACCCAGCTGGACAGTGGCTTCTAGCCTGTTGCTAACAGTGTGTGGCAATCTAACACACATGAGTAAGAGATAAACCACCTACCTTGTTGTACACAATAATAAAATCACCCAGTTGGTGGGCCAAGATTCTTCTGCGTTCCAGAAGCGCCAATCGTCGACTGGGTAATACCATCCTCATTGAGTGCTGGAGGTTACTTGATGCTCGTTTAAGGAAGCGAACCACTAGCTCCTATTAAGAGTCATTAGAGAAAGTAAGTAGGGATTGTGGGAAGCAACAGAGGCCAAGGTACGAAGGATTTACCCAACAAAGATACGAGAAGAGGTGTACTACACGTTTCAACACGTAAGACCCAGAGCAAGAACATGAGGTACAGTAAGGATACGGAAAGACAAAACATAAGAAACTTACTCTCTTCCCTCAATAAGCCGGCAATCAGAAAGGCAAAATAAATATGTACGCAAATAACTATCTATTAAAGAAGTAACTGCAAAAGTATCACAACCCACGTGCAAATAGCACTATGTAATTCGAAGTGCAGATACCACTTCTAACAGGGCAATCAGAGAAAGCTACTTAGGGAAAGGAGCTTTCACGGATAGTGGAAATTAAAACCATGGCAGTAGATGAAATCGACAGAGGTGAGAAGCAAGAGAAAGAACAGAAATATTCATAGGAAAGAAGAGGAAGAATCAGAGAAACGAAAGCAAAAAAAAAACCCATGGTAGAAACACCAGAAATTTACAAGAAAACAAAAACAAAAAACAAAAACAAACGAACAGATGAAAACAAGGAGAAAATAGTGCCATGGAAGCAAGGGGGTTAAAGGCCTCAAGTCAAAAGTTTCCAAGAGGCTGGATCTGAAAAGGACCAAGACCAAGGACAAGGGCCTAGATCCGGGCGTTGTGAGATAATTTCAAGACAATGCTTCCAGTGGAGGAAATGGAACAGAAGGAAGAGGCTAAGAAGTTCACAGGTAATGAAGAATAGAAACCACTAATTTAAAAAGTTTAGTGATGAAGAAAAAGAAAGAACAGCTACTCTATGCTTGAGAGGTGACAGCTTCTTTTTTCCTTCTCCAAGATGAACGGGGCTGGCAGGGGGGTAGTGCAGAGCGGAAAGTCATTAAAGGGGACAAAGGGCACATCTCACTTGGCATGGGGCAAGGGATTTTGAAATCTGAACAGATACCAATCAGATCATTCACAATATCACAAATGCTTCAAAGAGATATTTTGTGAGACCAGGGGCCTTAAATATAATTGTTCCTTGCCTCTCCACCCCCTGCAACATGACAAAATTGCCTTAAGATGATAGGTTGAGGGACCTTCTATTGATGCACCTACTGTGAGTTGTGATAAAGCATCTCCAACCCTCACCTGGAGCAGAGAGAGCAATTCTACCCCTACCTTCCTCACCAACAAGACCACAATCACCAAGGAATGGGTTAGGGTGCTCTCAAGATACATTTTCAAATGGGAATGCAGAGAACTGGTATTAGGTTTTGCAGTGATGATCCTAAGCATTCTCGTAACAAATCCCATTGAGATCCTGTGTGAATTCCAAGCCAGCACTTAACAGCGGTTACTCTCTTCCGCGCTATTTTTTCATTCCTTCAATTTGATTTTGGTTCATTGTCCTTTGGTGCTCATTTCCTCCAGCATAAAGGAACAGTCTCATAACCAGAGGGTTGGATTTTATGGTTCTACTCTGCTGTCTTTACTATAGGGTGGTTTAAGCTGTTATATTAAAATATTGTTTTTTCACAGTGGAGCAGACAAACTGACTCTCAAAAAGGCAGGTTCAATTTTCCACTTGGAAAGAGCAGAGCTAACATTTTCCACTGATGGTTGAAGGATTATTCACAATACACAAGGTTTTATCTCTGGGTTGTATTGGCTACTTTACTTTCGCCAGTTGTTTTCTGGGATATCAATCATGTTTTTATAATAAGTCTGGCATATTGCATGCCTCTTACATGCGGAGAACTGAACACTATGGTAGGGCCACCACTGAGATGGACAAAGTTTGCAGACTTCTCAGCCTTAAAAGTCACTCTCTTTTCATTGACACATCCCTGTGGTTATACGGCAAAGAAGGGCTATGGCTTCTTCCATAAGTGTTGACCTTACCAAAGAGCGTAATGTTCCTGATCGTTCCAATTCAAAAAGAAAAACCAAACCTTGCTACAATATTAAATTCTAGGCATGTTCAAATGACTGATACACAGCAAAAATTATGACGCAGTTTGTTTTCAGTCATCTAGGAACTTTATAAAATTTTAACTAGAAGAGAAATAATGTTAACATGGAGGATGGTACACTCTCGAGGACCTAGGACAAAGCATTGACTTTCAGAGTTAACACGACCCCTCAGGACGTAAAATAAATGTCTTGAGATACGTGGAAACAATGGAAAAACAAGTAAGGAACAACTGTAACATCTGGGCTCAAGTTCCAGTCCCACCATACACAAGCTGTGGGACCACAGGCAAATTACCTCCCTGCTCTAGGCCTTTGTTTCTGCATCTACAAAATGGGGACGGCAGCGCCTACATCAGAGTTCAGACAACATGAAGTTGCTTGAGAAAGGGCTCTAGGCTGTTTTTTTTTTTTTTTTTTTTGAGGGTTTTTTTGAGGGCTTTGCCCAGGGCCTGACATTGAATGAGCAATCAATTTCCATTTTTGGAATGAAATAAACAGATGCCCTCAACACCCAGTGCAATGAACGTGGCCCTAGATCAAAGATTCAGTTCACATTAAAGTAAGAGAAATCCACAACTATCGTGTGGAATAACTCTGTCACCTGAAGAACATATTGCTCTTTACCCTAGCTAAAAACAAAACAAAACAAAACAATGGAAGAAGAAGAGGAAAGAGAAGAAACAGGGGAAGTGAAAAAGGTTCCAACAAGAAGAGCCTCACCATCTGTTCATCCTCTTTGGCAGCCCAACTGGCACTGAACGTTTGACCTCCACTGTCTTTCATCAGGCGAATTTGAACATGCTGGAGATAGGCAGAGAAGGCTATTCGGGCCTGCACTTTGCTACAGAAATCCAAAACAACATACCGTTACAAGACAGAATGGTAGGCCTACTAAATGTGTACTTGCCTCACTCAAAGCGGGTGCTGAGGATCCTCTTGTCAGGAAGGGCCAAAAAAATGACGCCCGTCATGCAGTCAGTGAATAAAGATTCCTTCTACACAGTACATGAGTTGTTTTTTTCTACTAACAGAATCAAAGATGGAGAATCCTATTTATTTTCTCCTTATTGACACAGAGGAAAAATCAAACAGGAATGGGAAACCAGGTTTCCTATTCTTACACCTTATCGCTGAACTTTTTACCAACTTTCTTGGGGGAGTTGGACAGGAAAAGTATCAAATCTTCACAAGAACCTTTGCATTAACATAGAATGCCTCAGAGGCCCATAAGTATATGGTCAGCAGTTGGTGCAAAAGTATGCTTTTGCTATGGAAACTAATATTTCTGGTGTGCAAAGGCCCCCAAAGCAGGAAATAGATAAATCCTACAAAGGAACTTTTGAGACCAAATTTTAAGGTCCTGCTTTTCTCAACTACAAGACAGGAATGGCTGGAGCCCAGAACAAATGAGTGAGGTCCAACGGAGTTTGGCGTGGATGAACTGGCAGGCTGGGACCAGCCCAGATGTTCAGTGGGAAAACAAAATCTTTACATGTGGTGAAAAAAGCACCTCAGCGACATCACTGGTGAACTCAGCAGATTTCTGCTTGGTGGTCTCGGCTAGAAACAAGGAAATCTGCTCAAGCTAAGGTTTAGAAGATGGAAAGGCCAGAGACTCACTGACGATTTTCACTTCAGCTACTAACTGTAGCAGATCTGTTTTCCTTCAGAAGAGATTTTGGTTACTTCAGCTGATCGGCCTTCTGACACTCTAGCCAGAATTACATCAGTGAAGATTAGGGCCCAACACAAACTCTGTTTACAATCCTCACACATGCAATCACTGAATGCTTTCTATTCACTGTTCCTCCAATGTGAGGATGAAGGACTTGACCAGAGTAAACTGGACATCCTAAGAGGGCCTACGTCTAACTTCTGTGTATGTGCTGGAGGGACTGAGGGGAGGGGAGTCCGGCTGAAAAGCAGATTTGCTCTTGAGAGTTTAATATAGAAGATCTTCAAAGCATAAAACAGAAATAAGGCTACATCTTTCTTACTAATAGGGATAGTTTATGGGGGCACCATATGATTTGGAAAAAACAAATGTCTACTTTCAATATTTTCAAATTTCTCAACAAGGACACACTTATATACTTGTTCATCTGGAGACCATATGCCACTGTCCCCTCAACCATTTATTTACTTACAAGATGAAATAAATGAAAAAGATTCTTAATTTTGGCCCACAAATTCACTTGCTATCTAACGAGGTAGAAATGGCATGTTTCACATATCTCCAAAGTAGCAGAATGTCTCACTTTATTAATTATTCCTCTAACGCTAAAACATGAAGGTCTATTGGAGAAGGGAATTATCACTTCGAAGTTGAGATTTCAATCATTCTTTTGTTGCAAATCATTGCCACAAATCAAATGAACAAGTTGGTAATTCCAAGACTGCCCCTAAGGTATTTGGACCCACTGGCTGTCTAGGCATTTTCAACAAACCACAAAAGATGAAAGGATGAAAACTGAAATGATTTTTACCAGTGAAACTTGTTTTTAAAAAATAAAAGCTCATATGGATCCTCAGAGTAAAAAATACACAACGAAAGGCTAGGGGCTGGAGTCTCGAATCCTTACCATGGCCTCCTTGAGCTCTCTCAGTAGCCACTGAGATGCTGGGCAGAATCATGGGTAGCTACAGGAAACAATCTGAAAACCACTCATTTGCATTAGCACACCAGGCAACTACAACAGTTTACTCACTGAAAGTCAGATCCATAAGATTTATGAAGAAACAATTTCAACAACCACTAAGTAGAATGTTTTTGCTGGAAAGGGCCTCAGAATATAATCCAGTGGTTTTCAAATGTTCTATTTCAACTCAGTGGAATCCTTTTTCCCCTTCAGAAAGCACAGTTTGAAAAACATTTGTCTAACCTTATACCTTAGCCTGAAAGAAAAGGGAACTGAGGCATGGAGCAGCTCTCTGACTGGCCACCACGATCACACAGCCAGTTGGTGAAGACTAAAAAGTGAGAGAGAGTCTTAGTCTTGCAACAGTTCAGCGAGCTCTCTATTAACAGACCTACTGCCATTCTCCATGACACTCTTCCAAACCTTAACTCCATCTCCACAGCTCCCCAAACCCCGATGTCACCCACCACCCCTGCAATATAAGAACGGCCCTGTAACTTAGTAAATAAAGGCCATCATGCATAAATACCTAAACTTCTTTCCTCTTTAACTTCTAACTACTACATTCAACCCATAGTGCTTTCTTTCCAACTTAATGGGAAGAGATATCCTTCCAGTGACCTCTTTCACCTTCCTTTAGGGCCCTTCTCTATCAGTATGTCCATTTCTGCATCTCTGGTCTTCTTACCATCAAGCCCTTCCCCTAGTCCAGGAATACGCGCCAGAATCCCCATCTTTGAAAAAAAAAAAAAAATCCTTTCCTCTTAGCTCAGTCCTCACTCTCTCTGATGTGTTCTCATCTTCTTTTCATTGCCAAATCCTCTGAATAAGTTAGCTTGCACTTGCTTTCTTATTTCTCAACTCATTGGTTCTCACAATTCAGAGGCTGGCCCTGTGTCAGAAATGCAGGAGTCTCTTTTCACTCTTCACGCTCTCGCAGGCTGTCTGAAGCATGCTACAGCTTGGGGCTCTCATTCTGGAGCTTCTACCACACTCCCACCTCCGAAGCTGATGCTTACCTTTCTAAGTGCTAGTTCCTATCTCTTTACTATTAAACACTGGTTTTCCCCAGGGCTCAATTCTCCTCCTTTTCTCCCGTCTATGCTTGCTGGACTAATGTGAATTGGACAGGCTCATTCACTCTGAAGTTCTTAACTCAACTGCCCGATCATGTTCAACTCTGACCATCGGAGTGGTATCTTCACCTACCCCCTGAACCACTGCATCCCAGAGCCCTTCCGCCTCACTGTGCCCCAAATCAAACTTCCTTTTTACCCCGAAACCAACTCCTATGCTCCTTATTTTGCCAAGTTTGGAAAAATCCAGCCCCTCTCAAGGCTGGATTCTTACATCTACAGAGACCAAGCCCTGCCAATTTTAACTCGCAAATTTCATCCGGTCCATCCCAATCTCTCCACTCCTAGAGTTGTGGCTCTGGTCTAGGCCTTCCTCTTTCTGGCTCTGGACTACTGTGACAGCCCCTAACTCACTTTTCTGCCTTTAGTTCTCCTCTTATCCATAACTGTCCCACAATGCACCCAGAATTTACTTTCTAAATCAAGGTCTGACCATATCATTCATCTGCTTAAAAATTATCCATCTAGAAAATACCATTCCAGCTCCACTTAAAGCCGTTTATGATCAAATAATGTCCAATTCTTTAGTCTTATCTCTTATTGCACACTTCTCGCCATGTAACTCCACTTCGCAAGCCCAGGTTTCGCAAACTCTCCAAGCTCATTTCAAATTCAAGGCCTTCAGACTTGCTTTTCTGCCTGAGACATTCTGCCCCCTGATATTCCATGACTTAGCTCCTTCTCATCATTCCGGACTCACCTCAAAGGTTACCTCTTCATGCCTGAACACTACAATCTAAAGACACCCTCTGCCCATTTACCCTCTAACACGACTCCCTGTTCTGTCTTCGTTGCCCTACTTACTGCCTGAAATTCCCTTGTTTCCTTGTTTACCATCAGTGACCCCCATGCGACTGTAAGTCCCACGAGCCTGTCTTGGTCTCTACTGTAACACTACACTGCCTAGCGCATTCCCGCACGGAGCAGGTGCTTGATAAACTTCTGCTGAGGGGCTGAATGAATGATTAGACTATCACATCTCTGTGACTTTATTTCCTCTACTGGCACTTTTGCACTTAGCTGTCACCTCTCAGCCCTCCTGGCATCCTACTCATCAGCCAAAGCCTGATTCAAATATTGCCACCTCCCTAATGTCTCTCTAGGCCTCTCAGGCAAGATCAGTCACTCCGTTTTCTGTCTCTAAGAGCACTTGGTCCATATCGGCGCCCCTGCTCTTTAAGGATCCCTACACAAAACCGTGAGCTGCTTGAACTGTGCGCTTTTAGTGACTGACACTCAATCCCAACACGTATTTGTTGGGCCAGTGAAATCTGGGTTGGTTCACAGCACTATACCTTGGACAAGTAACTTCTCTTAACAATTAATCATATTAAAAATAACATCAAAGTAATTACATCCTTCCCTAGTAACAACAGTAATAAAATCAGAGTCATTACGTCACAAGACCACTGTAAAAAAAGGAAAATGGCTGTAAGGCCACCAGCACAGGCCCTGGTACACAATACAAGTTATCGGTTTTACTATTATAATTACAAAAGGTACATACCTAAGATTGCCGTTATCTTGCAGAATCTGCATCAGGTTAAGTTTAGGCGCTGACTCCTGAGTCTCAACTTTGCAGCACTGTTCACCTTTATTATTCCATTCAGAAACTTTCACGGCATTTTCTTTGGGTGAATTTTCTACCATACCAGTCAATGGGGGGGTGTATTTGGCTTGATTTTCTCCAAGGGACCCTGCAGACTCCTCCTGGGAAACCTCCTGTTCTTCATCTTCATTGTCTAATGCAACTTCTTCCTCCTCTTCACTCTCTGTCTCAGTTTTAACATTCATTTCAGCTGGCTGAGTGATCACTAAATGCGAAGAATCACTAATGTGGCTGAAAACAGACTAAATTTTCTTCTCTCCCAATACCTTCCTTTTATCTTTTTAATAAAATCCCATTTCTAAATCAGACCACAATCGAGGCACAAAATCAACAGCATACACAGGCCGCTCTCCAGTCTTACGTAGTTTAAGAGCCTACAATGACCTCCATTAGAGTTCACGTTCCTCACCACAATATCAATGGCTCTCTCTCAACTTCAGGCAAACATCTTGGGTAGAGTAATCTCTACAGTGGGTTGGAGGTTTTCAGAAGGGCACAAAGGGCAGGGCGACATTATTCTATCCTATATTTATTCATTATCTTTCTCTTTCACTGACTTGGAAGATCTGTGAGGATAAGGACTATACCTTTTTTATTGACCCATAAAACCCTAGTGACCAACGTGCATGATACAGGTGCTCAACAAAGGAGGGAAGTCGGTGGGGGAGGGAAGTCGGAGGAGGAGGGAAGGGAGGAAGGAAGTCAGTCAATTAATCATGACAAACAGACCTGTAACATGGGAGCATCTTGGAGAGAAAGAAATTCCTTTGTTCATGTTTAAAATATTTATATGATTTGGCAATGTCAAGGGATGAACCAGCTTTAATACCTAATTATAAAAAGCCTGAACAATACTGCTCAGGGTTCCATTAAATTTAAGCTAAAGTGTTTCTTTCTATTTATTTTTCTTTACATCTTAAGTGGTTAGCCATGTGATGCTAAAATGAAGAGCAAAAGCCAAAATGTGCTTCAGTTATTCCTCAGTACAAATCTTACAGACTGGAAGGTTTAGAAACTTATAATCTTCTGAAATTAAGTTTCAGAGAAAAAGACTATCCAAAAAAATTAAACGTATGTGATGAGGAAGGTTCTGATTCATTAAGTATGAACTAAGAAGCTGATTAACTGAGACTGACACAACCCAGACAATGGACTTTGGCATAAGCTCACCAGCAGGTACCTGGGTATTTTGGCCTCATTGCCCTCAATCTGCCATTCCGTCGTCGACGTTTCCGCACCTCCAAAGACAGGAGCTTCCTCTCATAGAGGGCAGCGTGCAGTTTGGCCTTGGAGTTCATACTCTCTACCTTCAATTCTGGTGCTCCATCAACAGCCAGTCTATGGAAAAAAACAATATGGTAGCTACAGCCTTCAGAGAACTATCCTTTATTCCAAGGCTAAGCTTGACAGAGTTCTGTAACAACAACAGGTTGGGTATAGTACCTCTAGTGAATTCTAAAAAGTTTTATAAGTGAGAATATTGGAATCTACATTAAAACTCCCCTAAGAGGGGTGCCTGGGTGGCTTAGTCGGTTGAGCGTCCGACTTTTGCTTAGGTCATGATCTCGCGGTTCGTGGGTTCGAGCCCCACGTCGGGCTCTGTGCTGACTGCCAGCTCAGAGTCTGGAGCCTGTTTCAGTCTGTGACTCCCTCTCTCTCTGACCCTCCCCTGCTCACGCTGTCTCTCTCTCTCTCTCTCTCTCTCCCAGAAATAAATAAAACATTTAAAAAAAAAAAAAAGGAAAAAAAAAAAACCTCCCCTAAGAACCTGTCTGAATTTGTTAAATATTCTGAACAAAAATATATCTGAAGACAATGTTTAAGTGTTTTTAAAGTATTCAGTCATACTGGCTGACTGTTAACCGCAAAAGCCATAAAGTGCTACCCAGAACCTTATACCGAGGGATGACTGGGAGATACTGGCAACACTTTCATTCTTAAGCTGGGTGGTGGCTAGAGGGGTCTATTTTATTGCTATTCATTATAATTTACTCACACTCATACAAATATTCTTCTAATGTATATGCTATTTAATAAATACAAATTTGGCAGAAGTTGAGACGGAGGAGGAATGTTTGATAGCCTGTGAATGTGGTAGCACAGAGGTAAGACTTATGCGGGAAAGTCTTAGTCAAAAGGTACCAAGACCCTGAGGCATACCAAGTCTCAAACATTCCAACAAAAGGAACTGGTCGCTAAGAGTCCACTTAGTTACAGGAGGAGGTAGGGGGCAATTACAGGTAATTACAGGTCAGGAGTTAAGAGTCAGAGGCACAGACAAGGGAAGGGAGCAGATGGTGGACAAAGCCAAGTTCAGTCAGGTCACGAATGGGAAATAGGGTAGACAGGGGATGGCAGCAGATACATTAGGCATTAGTTAAAGTACGATAAATCATAAGTTAGGGAAGTGACCGGCATCAGGCCCAATCCAAACAGGGACGTGGGCAAAGTACTGGGCAGGCAAAGGTAACTAGGTCAGCAAAGAGAGAGAGGCATCTTAGTCGTTGAATCAGAAAAGAAGTACCCATGTCCGTGTCTAAAGTAGGCGGCTAACTCTGCATGCTCAGAACTCAAGATCTAACTCGTTGGCTGTGAACTGTCTCTCTTGAACCCCCTGGAAATCAAATTGTATTCTCTTTGTGGTCAAGGAATCATCCTCCTTTCTGAGAGTTTTCAATCTCTAAGCATGATGGAAAAGCTGTGTCTTTTGGTCTATTTAGGTGTTTCAGAGATTTCTGAGTGGATAAACTGGACAGTAAATCTTCCAGAAGCTTTCTCTCTAGAGCAGGAAACAGCCAAGAACAGAGACGGTCCTGACACACAGGGGCAGACACCGGAAGCAAATTAATAAACTTTAAAAATAGTTCAGAGACAGCTTACCCAAAACTGAACACTGCACCTCCTCATACACACGTTTGTGAACATAGATTTTTAGCCAGTTAAAGAAAATGAAATAAAACTAACATTTTAAAATAACATCTATGAGCTTCTAAGAAACTCTGAATAGACCAACATATTCTAAGTATTACAAGGAATGGAGGTAGGGAATAATGGAGAAACTTTGAATCTGACAAACAGAATTAATACTTCTATGAGGGTAAAGACCAGGCTTGTCTTGCCGATCACTGGATCAGAGATGGTCCTGAGCCTGCCCAGCGCACAGTTGACATACCATTACAATTTTTAAATAAACAACGAATCCCCTATAAGTAAATTACAATACCTGTTAGCTACACCTACCCCATTTTATGTTTCTAACATTGTATTCTGAAAATATTTACACAAACAGAAAAGCTTTAAGAACTGTACAGCAGGGGCGCCTGGGTGGCTTAGTCAGTTGAGTGTCCGACTTTCGCTTAGGTCATGATCTCGCGGTTCATGGGTTCGAGCCCCGCGTCGGGCTCTGTGCTGACTGCCAGCTCAGAGGCTGGAGCCTGTTTCAGTCTGTGACTCCCTCTCTGACCCTCCCCTGCTCACGCTGTCTCTCTCTCTCTCTCTCCTAGAAATAAATAAATAAAACATAAAAAAAAAATTAAGAAAAAAAAGTGTACAGCAGACATCCGTGTACCTGTTGCCGGGTTTCTGCAATAAATATATTGCTATATCTGTTTCCGCACATATATATCCAACCATCCCTTCCTTGTTCATCCATCAATTCATCTAATTTTTAAAGCATTCCAAAGTTATACACAGATGTCAGTGCACTTTGCACCTAAAGGCTCTAACATGCATATCATTAATAGCTAGAAATCAGTATTTGTTTTATAGGGCTTTTGGTGTTTTGGTTTTCTGTTTTTGCTTAGTTTGTTTGTGGGTGAGCTAAACACTGTATACTGCGAAATATCCAAATATTCGATGACCATTTGGTGGGTTCTGACAAATGCCTAGAACTATATAACCCGAACTCTAACATTACTACCGCCTCAGAAAGTTCTCATGAAGCTTCCCAGTCAATCCCAGCCTCATACTCCTAAAGGAGACCACTGTCCTAAGTTTTTTTGTTACATATTAGGTTTGCCTATTCTAGAACTTCTTACAAATGGAATTATACAGTATGAACTCTTGTAAGTTTCCTTTCATTCTGCATGTTTTAGGGATTCATGCATGTTGTGTGTTTCCGTATTTGTGCCTTTGTGTGGCTCAGGGTTAGTCCACTCTATGAATAACCCACAGCCCCCCTACTCTCTGGTTGTTGGACCCTTAAGTTGTTTCTAGTTTTGGAATATTATGAATGAAGCTGCTGTGAACGTTTTTGGACAAGTCGTTTTGTGGTTACGTTTTTCATTCCATCGGGGTAGAGATCTCAGCACGGAGCTTTCAAGGCTGATAAACTGCCAGACCTCTCCTGAAGAATGTGTACCAGTTTCCGCTGCCAATGACAATGCAGCAGAGCTCCATTAGCTCCACATCCTCATCATCTGATGCTGTCGGTCATTTTCTGGTTGTTCCCAGCTTTACTGAGCTATAGCTGACAAAATTGCAATGTATTTAAAGTGGACAACACAACGACAAAATGTTAGCCATTCTGCTAGATTTTAGTGGTATCTCATAGTTTAATTTGCAATTCTCTGATAATTAATGTTATCAAGCACATTTTCAGGAGCATATTGGCCACTCGTATACCTTCTTTTTGAAGTGTCTGTCCAGACATCTCACCCATTTGTAAGAGGGTTGACTGTCTTCTAATTATTCAGTTATAGGAGTTTGTTATATTCTCTAGACACCAGACCTTTGTTTGATGCATACCTTCACCAGGTTTATGGTCTGCCTGGTCACTTTCCTAACAGTATGTGATGATAATTTTGAGAAAATCAAGCTTGTCATTTTATCCTTTTTGGGTACCACTTTCTGTGTCATGTTTAAAACTTCTGCCAAGCCCAAAGTCCCAAAGACATTGTCCTAGATTTTCCTCAAGAAATTTTATCGTAAGAGCTTTTCTGTTTATGTCTATGAATCATCACTAATCTTTCTGGGAAACAGGGGTTGAGGTTCATTTTAAAAAGTACGATATCCAGTTCTAGCCCTATGCGTTAACAAGTTTCCTTTCCCTATTAGATTACTTTGGGCCTTTTGATTGAAGTCAAATGACCATATCAATATAGATCTATTTCTGGACTCTTTATTCTGTTCCACTGATAAACATGCCACAGTTTTGATTACTATAGCATTGTAGTATTTCTTTAAGTAAGGTAACCTAAGTCTTTTTCAAGATTACTTTGGATACTCTAAGTATCCAAAAAAAAAAAAAAAAAAAGTCAAGTCAATTTCTGCTTTGGTGAAGAAAAATATAGTGAATTTCTACCAAATAATCTACTGGAATAATGACTGGAATTGCACCAGATCTTTAGATCAGTTTGGGGAGAATGGACATTTTTTGGTAATATTAAGTCTTCTAATTCATGAGCATCACATATCTCCCCACTTATTGAGATCTTCTTTCATTTCTTTCAGTAATATTTACTGAATATTTAGTTTTTACTGTATAGGTATTAAACATATTTTATAAAATTTATCCTTGAGAAATTTGTATTTTCAAACACTACCATAAACAAAATTTTAAATTTCACCTTCAAATTATTTACTGCTAGTATATAAAAATAATTAGGTTCAAAGACCTTGCTAAGTGCACTTACATGTTCTTGTAGTTATTCCATAGGTGCTTTAAGATTTCCTATTAACTAGATCATATCATCCAAGATGAAAGATATTTGATTTCTTCACTTCCAATCTGTATGCCTTTTCTTCCCTCAACCCGTGCTTCATTGTACAGCTTGGGACTTCTAGTATAAAGTGACTACAAATGGCAAAAATGGACATCTTGCTATCTTACTACTCATAGAAGGAAGCCTTCAATATTTTACCATTAGGTATGATGTTAGCAATAGAGTTTTCATAGATGGCATTTACCAAATGAAGAAATTCCTTCTGTTTCTGATTTGCTAAGAGTTTTTCTCATAAATGTGTTGAATTTCATCAGATGCTTTTTTTGCATCTAATAAAATGGTCATCTGGTTTTTTTCCCTTTGTATATGGTGAATTATATCGATGAATTTTCAAATGTTAAACCAACCTTTCAATGTTTTTCCATTACTAGAAAAACCTCTCTTAGTCATCTGTATTACCCTTTTTTTTGTACTGGTGGACTCAATTTGCTAATATTCTTTTAAGAAATTTTGTGTCTCTGTTCATGAAGATATTAGCCTGTAATATTCTTTTTTAATGTATAGTTATTTACATTGAGAGAGAGAGCACATGCACGAGACAGGGAGGGGCAGAGAGAAAATCCCAAGCAGGCTCTGCACTGAAAGCAGAACCATGGAATCATGACCTAAGCCAAAATCCAGAGTCAAACACTTAACTGACTGAGCCATCCAGGCGCCTCAGACACTTATTAAAAATGTCTTTGTCAGGCTGTGGTGTCATAATTAATGTTAGCATCATTAAATGAATTGGGAAGTGTCTCTTCCTATAGTTTTGAAAGAGTTCATGTAAGATCAGTGCTGTTCTTCCTCAAACGCTTGATAGAATTCACAAGGGAAACTACTGAGCTTCGGGTTTTCTTCGCAGAAAGATTATTGATTACAAATTCAATATTCTGAATAGATATGGGGCTATTCAAACTTTCTGTTTCAACTTGTATCAGTTTTGCTAAGTATTCCCTCCTAAGGAATTCAGACATTTCATCTAGGTTGTCAAAGCAGTGGAATAAGGTTATTAATAACATTCCCTTAATGTGCTTTTTATGTCTGTAGGATCTATAAATTACTTCCCTCTTTCCTATCTGATACTGGTAATTAGTGTTCTTTCTTCTTACTAGATCAGTCTATGTAAGACTTTATGAATTCTATCTTACCAGTGAACAATTTTAGATTTTACTGGTTTTCTTTATTGTTTGCCTTTCATTTAATTGATTCCTATCCTTTACTATGTCCATTCTTCTACTTACATGGTTTTATCTAGGTTTCATAAAATGGAACATTAGATCAGTGATTTAGACCTCTGTTTTCTGACACAAGCATTTAAAAAGCTATAAATTTCCCCCAATACACGACTTTAGCTGCATCCCACATATTTTAATGTTACATTTTAATTTTCATTCAGTTTAAAATACTTTCCAATTTCCCTCATGATTTCTTCCTCGACCCATGCATTATTTTGAAGTGTTAATTTCCAACTATTAGGAGATTTTCTATTGTTACTGCTTTCTAATTCCACTGTGCTCAAAGACCATACTGTTTATTATTTTCATCTTTTTAAATGTATTAACATGTCTTTCATGCAACAGCACATGGCCAGATTCGTTTGCTTATGCCTCTAGACACCAAAAAACATCTGATGACAATATAAGGTGAGTGCCAAAACTGAAGAAAGGCCAGAACCCACTGGTTTTTAAATACTTATTGTTTAAGACTTTTTCGTTTGTTTCATTTTCTCTAATTGCCAAATTGATAGCAATATACTCTAGGAAGCATTTTCTGTGATGAGAAACTGGAGGAAACTTATAAATTGTGACTTCATTTGGAAACAAGTTACAAACTTGACTTCTCCCAGTTTTTCCTTAATTAAATGGCAATCACATGCTTTCCTTCTTTAAAGAAAAATTAGATTTGGGGCGCCTGGATGGCTCAGTCAGTTAAGTGTCTGACTTCAGCTTCAAGCCCCAGGTTGGGCTCTGTGCTGACAGCTGGGTTTTTTTTCCCTTTGTATATGGTGAATTATATTGATGAATATAAATATAAATAAACAGAGCCTGGAGCCTATTTCGGATTCTGTGTCTCCCTCTTTCTGACCCTCCCCTGCTCATGCTGTCTCTCTCTCTCTCTCTCAGAAATAAATAAAAAACATTAAAAAAAGAAAAAATTAGATTTATGCTTCAAGGGGTTTCGGCAAGAAACCAGGTTTATCCTCATGAATCTTTAAATGTAAAACTAAAAACTAGATACAGGATGTTTCTTTCTTATTATTGCCATTTTGTTTTCTCAAGAGGGAGAACACAAGGGGATGTATATAAAGGTCTCAAACCGGGGGGTTTGTGTGCTTAGGTTTCAGAGCTTTTGCTGTGGCTGCAGTCTTCCGTAGAGCAAGGCCATCCCAGCTCTTCCTCAAAGACCCATCTTTCCTCCACCAAAATGAAGAGCCATGGGTATTTTGCATACTTTCAGCTCTGCGGTAAACTAGAAGCAGTTCTGCCCAGTCCCATAAGGCACAGAGTTTATGCTGCAAGTATATCAGGGCCAAACATAACCACTTATTTGCCTCTACCATGACAATAGTCTTGAAATCACATTTCTACTTTGGTGTCTCTCACACAGCCAAATGACAACTCTTTTATTATCAGTTCAAATGATATACCTGTAGATATAAAAAAGTAAATCCAAAATTTAGTTTCTAAAAAGTTGCCACAGCAGAGGGTTTCAATAGAAACATTTTTTATGTTACTACTCAAGCAGAGCCAAACCAAAAATGGTTGTATTAAAATATCATGCTTAGCCCGTGCATGGTCACACATGGCGCACATGGAAAGAATTTCTCAACTTTTAAAAGTCAGTTACCGTGTTCTTCCTGTCAATAAGCTTCTCCTTGGGTTTCCCCTACAGAAGTAGAAAGGACAACTGGGTTAGAGGACTGTTCTGATATTCTATCCTAAATTCACATGCACACACACACTCCTGAGATAATACAGAATTATGCCAAGGAAGGCATCTTTGGGGAGAGGCAGAGAAACGCATTGAGAAAAGAAAAGAGTCCCATTAGCATGGGGAAGATCAATTAAAAACCCACAGGGAAAGGACAGATGAATTCTAGGAAAGAATCCTAACAATTACTTGCGTTTTTATATTTAGTCACAAATCAAATCACACTTATTCTTTAGAACCACCATGTGAAGAAGGTTATTATTAGCCCCGTTTATAAAAGGAGTAGGATATGATCATTTTGTGACATGCCCAAGGTTGGAGCTTAGTGGGTTCAAAATTTGAACCCAGGAGTTAGGTCTGAGACTCCCATGCTCTTTATACTTTCACTGAACCGTGTTTAGTAAAGGAAACCAATCTCATTTTCATGGGGTTTAAAAAGGATGCTCAGAAGAAATATTTTTCACAATTAAAAAAAATTCCTTTAAAAAAAGAGCTACTCCACTTGTTGGGATGAGCACTGGGTATTATATGTAAACCAACTTGACAATAAACTACTTAAGAAAAAAAAAGAAAAGCTACTCTCCATTGTCTCTGGACTAGAGCTGGGCTCTTAACACAAGAAGTGAATGCCATTTATGTTTTAATTAGCTTTTGTTTTTCCTTTAAAACATCCCGCATTCAATTTCCTTTCATTTAACACATACTCTCACATACTCTCTCTTTTTTAATTTCCTCATTTTTACTTGTATTCACTTGTGAATGTGTATATTTAGCTCAGTGCTAATCACTGCAGAGATTCCCATATACGTCACCACAGACAAGACACTGAACAATTTCACGACCATAAGGATCCTGTGTGTCATCCTTTATAACCACATAGCTTTTACCTACCTAACCCCTGGCTCCCTTGAATCTGTTCTCCATTTAAAACTTTTATCATTTCAAAAATTTTACATAAATGGTATTGGGATTGGTTTTTCTAAAAGAGACACATGCAATCTATGTCAGGATTTTCTATTTACAGAAAATCAAGTAAAAGTAGGTCTTCACCAAAATGTTTTGTCTTTCTCTTCCCACATGGTCTTTTCATGCCAATGTTCTAACGTTGTCATCACATGTCATCTCGTCATCATCAGAAAGCCTCAAGATGGCTTTTTCATCAGATAATGGTTTGTCTCAGTAATATGCGATTGTGGTTTCACATTACAGCCACCTAGGCAGCTTTTAGGAAGTACCAATGCTTCAGTCTGGGGCTGGGACCAGGGCATCAACATGACTGACAAAATCCACAGGTGTTACTGATATGCACCCAGGGTTAAAATTACCATCAAACTAGAAGACAGTAGGTAAGAGAACCTGTTTGCCAGGGCAGGGTGGTAGGTGAGGGGTGAGTAGGAGAGAGCAAGAAAGGCAGACCAAATTAACCTAAAAGAAATGATGAGGGAATTCGTTTCAAAGTAATTCTGACACTATTACAACAGGATTTTTACGAGGAAAAAATATCAAGTCAAATTGAAGAGAAGAGACTTACCAGAAGATTTTAGGGCTTGCAAAAAATACAATTTCATTTTTTCAGTGGATGCTTTTGTGTGTGTGTCTACCATGTGGTATGTTCTAGGTAAGGACAAAGATGAATATAACAAAGTCCTGCTCTTACAAGCCAACTTGTAAAGTACAGGCTAGTAAGTAAACAAGCAATTCTAATCCCATGTGGGAATCTGAATCCCCCTGAGGGATCGCAGGGCTGACAGAACCTCCTCCTAGTCTGGGTAAGAGGCTGAAGGACACAGCTAGAAGAATTTAGGGATGGACTGAAAGCCATCCCAAGGGGCGACAAGTATGTAAGAAGAAGGAGGCATGAAAGAGCAAGCTGATACAGAGATATTGGCCATGGGTTGACGTGGAAAAGTAGAGATGAGCTAAAAGGGTAGGCAAGAGTAAATCATGAGGTCTTTTTTTGCTAAACACGGAAATTCATGTTTTTATTTTATTTTACTATTAATGTTTAATTATTTTTGAGAGAAGCATGCACATGAGTAGGGGAAGGGCAGAGAGAGAGGGGGACAGAGTTTTCGGAAGCAGGATCTGCGCTGCCAGTAGAGAGCCTGATGCAGGGCCCAAACTCACAAACCGTGAGATCATGACCTGAGCTGAAGTTGGACACTTAGCCGACTGAGCCACCCAGGTGCCCTGAAGTTCATGTTTCTAGAATGCTTTATAAACAGGTATTGTTCCTGGGACCTGAAGAAAGAATTCAGGGAGTATACCAACTTGGATGGAAAAGAAATGAATCCTCCTTCCAACGGAATTAGCATTTCCTTCATATACATGTAGTGCTATGATTTTGTTACCGAAGCCCACAGCAGTGTTAGTATGATTTTGTTACCAAAGAAAAATATTGCATCTTCTTTTTCATATTACTTTAGAGGTGTTACAGGTATCTCAAAATCTTGCCAACACGTATCACACTTTTGAAACTGTGGTGGTTATTAGACCCGATGGTAGTCTTATTATTGGATTGTTAATAAGAAACACATATATTATTACATCTCAAATCTTTTTGTTGTTCTACTCCCCCAAGGAGAAGGCTTCCTAATTTGGCTGAGGGTTCTCAGATTGCTTGCTCTGCTTTCCTTCCCCATCATGGAAACCCCAGGTTGGAAAGATTGAGCTTCAAGCATAGAGTCTATGTCAGTTCACACAGATACAATCTGTGAAGAATTCATGCAAACCACCTATTCTCAGCAAACAATCCATTACTTATCAAAACAACTGGAAAATCAAAGATCACCAAATATATGAGGAATTATAATAACACAAACCAGAAAGAATGAGATGAACAAACAGAACAAATATAATAAAGAATTAAATATAATGCAAAAAACAGAAAGGAACTTTCAACAAACTAAGTAAAACAGTCAAAGAGATGTGAAAAAATACTTGTGATATTATGATTCATAGTAAGAAATATACATTTGGTCTTCGTACCCATTTCCGGCACAGAGCTCCTAAAACCCCTGGAACTTCTTAAGTGACGAGCATGGTAAAGGTGTCTTTAGTTACGCCAATGAGGTGACTTTGGGAATGTCCTGGATCTCTTTCAGGATGGGGGCAGGTCACCAGAAGAATCAACCATGTGATCAAAGACTTGGAACTTTCAGCCCCACACCGCTGACCTCCATGGAGGGGAGAGGGCCAGCAGAGGGAGTTCAATCACCAACAACCAATGATTTAATCAATCGTGCCTTTGTAATGACACCTCCCTCAAAACTCAAAAGGAGAGCTTCGAGGCTGGTGAACACATGGAGATCTAGGGAGGACGTGGAAATTCTGCACCCTTTCCCTATGCCCTGCCCTGTGCATCTCTTCCATCTCGCTATTCCTGAGTTATATTCCTTTAAAATAAACCAGTGATCTAGTAAGTGAAATGTTTCTTGGAGTCTCGTGAGCCCCTCTAGCAAAGTAATCAACTCCAAGGAAGGAGAGAGTTGTAGGAACCTCTGATGTATAGCCAGTCAGTCAGAAGTACAGGTAACAACCTGGACTTGCAAGTGGTGTCTGAATTATAGTCCAAGGAGGGGGATGCTGGAACCTCCAATATGTAGCCGGTCAGTCAGAAGCAGAGGGGACAGCGTCCAAAGTAGGGCAAAGGCAGAGGAGGTGGGGAATGACGGTCTTATAGGACTGAATCCTTAAACTGTGCAATCTGATGCTAAGCTCTGGGCAGACAGTGTCAGAATTGCACTGAATTCTCAGATGCCAACAGGGGCAACTGGTTGGTGCCATGGGGGAACCTGCCGGCCACACTGGAATTGGTACCAGAAGCATTTTAACATTACATCCACGAACTTGAAAAACAAGTCAGAAGTCAAAAATAGTTCTTGGATATTAAAACTGTACTTGCCAAAATCAAAAAGGTAAACTGGACCACCTTCTCTTGTGCTGGTACTGAAGAATTAAATAGATAAGGCTGCAGATCAATTTAAAATTTTAGAAGAAAAAGTTCAAGAGGCCTCCCAGAATTTAACTAAAAAAACAATGAGATCAAAAGAGTGAGAAAAAAAAAACCCAACAACAACAACAAAAAAAACATGGAACATACAGCAAAAGTTCCAAAATTCATCTAACAGAAGTTCCACAAAGAGAGAAAGGAGAGGATGAGGGGAATATCTGCCACAGCTGGAAGACTTAAATCTTCAGTCTGAAACAACTCACCTACCGCAAAACCAAAATAATGAAAAGTAACACACCAGAACACAGGTTGGTAAAATAGCTGAACTCTAAAGATAAAAGAGCCTTGTAAAAGTTTCCAGGGCGGTGAGGGAGGAGAGAAAAAAACCAGGTTATATATAGAAAAATGAGATTCTGTGTCTTCTAAGTATATCTAAAGATCTCTTTCATTAGAAGCTACACAGTATAATTACTTCATCAGTGGTGATAACTACAAATTTACAGACAGAAATGGCAAATCCCATATATTTCCTGATAACAGATCATGAAATTGTAGGAAATGGCTAAAATCTGGGCATCTATTTTAAGAATACTGCAAAAAAGCACACATACCTTGAAAATTATACAGATTTCTCTAAATAACTAAGGTTCCTTATTTTGATAGTCAGTTACTGAACTATACTGCAATACAATTATGTCAGAGGGGCAACAAAAGTATGTGGGACTAAGTAGTCCCTGACTGCTGTGCTACTTGAATTCCAATGTCTGCTTTCCATCATTTCACCCTATTTCCCCTTTGTATTGAGGTTATCGGTTGTCATTTTTTACAACTCTTAGTATATTTATTTTGTGAATTACCACTCGTCTTGACCTTTCCTAATCTGATCATTCTAACCTCTTCTAGTCTAGAAAAACAGATGATCGTGTCTTGTTAAAATTGTGTCTAACGTAAAAAGGGACCGAGTAAGGGCCTTCCTCTATGAAGAATAAAGTCTAGGGTATCTGTTAAGATTGTTTAAAGATCGCTATGGTTTATTTGTGGCTTCTGGAAATAGTACAAAGTGCCGAGAGTTAATGAATTCTGGAACAACAAGCTATTATGTTGTGTTTTCTGCAAGGCCTTTTCTAACAGAGATTTTACAAAAGACTTTTCTAAAGCCTCTTTCCTTCTTTTATATGTACTTTCTCATCACATGATCTAGGGATTGTATAAGATTAGCAAATTTACAAGATTAGCAAATCCCTACCTGTCCTGGAAGAGACGTGTTGCCAGCATATAGTTCATCGAAGTCTTGTGTTCGAGGTAGGACCTGAAAGACAAAGGAAGAAACTGCCTATTTCTTAGGTTTGGATGAAGGGAGAAAAGATGGAAATAAAGCCATGAATCAAGCGCAGAAGTGACAGGCTATGTATATACTGTTTCTAAAGTAATATACTGTTCTCTAAAATGACAAAGGACGAGAAAGTGGCTCAAATTAAAATTATAAAATATTAGAGTTGCAGCAGATAAAATAAAATTTAAAGAACGGAGGAGTTAATTTAGAATGGAAAAAGAAAGAAATGGCAAGATTTCTTGGATTAATAAAAAGTGACCTACTAAAATCAGAAAATAAAACTGTAAGGTAAAAACAAAACCACTGGGGGTGCTTGTGGCCCAGGTGGTTGAGTGTCCAAGTCTTGATTTGGCCTGTGGCCCACCGTCATGCCCCAGCTCATGAGCACACGTGTACTCTTCCTCTAAAATCAAAAAAATTTTTTTTAATTTAAAAAAAACAAATGCTTAAAAAGAAAACAAAACCACCGCCAAATTTCATATATAACTAAGAGAGAGGTCAAAAGAAGCCAGGAATGGGAGATGCATAAAGGGCATGAAAATGTACGCAGAAGAGGGTTTCAACCATGCTTTTTCTCAAAAGCTTTCAATGGCTCCTTGATGCCTACTGCAGGAGGCATACACTCTCTTCCAAGCTTTCAAAAGTTGAATAATCGATAGCACCAATTCCTTCATACTTTCTCCAGACAGTTCCTCAACACTGATCCTGCCATGTAGGCGGACAAGGCCCCTTATAATCCTTTCACACCACACCTCCCATTGATCCTTTTGCCTTGGTCTGGATACCTCCTCACACTCCATCCACTTACCCATAATACTCTTCAGGAAGCAGCTCAAGTCTTCCCTGCTGCATGAAGCCTTCCCTGATAACGGTAGCTCCAAGAAGCGCCCTTGTCTGAACTACCTTGCCCTTTACTGTATACTCAACAGATCTGCCATACACTGTCTCACAGAGGAAAATTTTTCTTCTCAGAAAGCGGCATGATGTAGCAGGAAAAAGTAAGATCCAGATTCAGAATACCTGCATCAGGTCCCCCTGTGTGATCACGGATGAGTCACTTACTTTACTAAGCCTTACTTTCCTTATCATTAAAATGGGGATAACAATGATGTGCATGAAGTACATTATAATTATGAGGAACTATACAAATGAGTATTTTTATTATATGTATAAGTAATTTCTCCACAATCACAGTGTTAACTCTCAAAGGCCAGGGGTTCCATCTAATAGTGGTTTTATACTCAAAAGCACCAGACATAGTGCTAGACACTTGGCTGATATCCTATATATATTTTTTGTTATTAATATACATGCGTATATTTGTGACATCTTCCCCACTCTACATGAAGGCAGCTCAATTAGTTTAATATTTTTGGCCTTGTTCTGCTTCTTTTCTCAGAGGCCCCAGGAGAGGTAGAATGACTTACTAGATTGATAATTTAGAAAGAATAAACAGAAATGCTTCATTGGGAAGCTCCCTTTTTTCTCTTGGGGGTCAATCTCCTGTTAGGAGGTACATTCTTCTGCTGGTCCCAGGGGTCAGGTGCTCCCCACACATAGCTCAGTCTAACTTTGCCCAGAAATGGGCATGTAAATCTGTCCAAATTAGAAGTTGCTTGCAGACAGATATAACCAAGTCCCCCAACCTAGACTTTATCAATAAAAGAGGAGATATCTGGCCTCCTTCTCTCCTTAGTCTTTGTCTTCTCTCTTGATTGGTTCAGAACCAAACCAGTAAAGAAAGGTATCATTACTGGACTCTATAAGAGACCCCAACATTACCTGTAATTGATTCCTTCAAATTTTCCTAAAGGCGCTTAAAGTTCTGTCTCTACACCCCTACTCAAGGGTGTAGATTTCTACTTTCATTAATTAAAATATATGTTTTCTAGGAACTGCAAACATGTAGATTCTTCAAAAACCTCTCAAAAGAAAACATAAGCAGTATCTTTCTGTTGCATTCCTAGGTGTCTGTAAGGTATAATTACATCGATAGAATATTTTGTAAGATGAAAGGAAGATTTCTCTATGAACAGCTGGGTTTTCAAGACAAAACAAAACAAACACAAAATGGATACCTTGCTTTATTCCTCTAAGTTCTAGCTCTATACTTAGAACCACTAATATCCCAACTAGATCAAAAGCCAGTCACCAAAGGAAAAGTAATGTGTTGCCTATAAATAAGTACAAAGATTCTCAACCTTATTGCAATCAGAGAATAATCATCACAAGGGATTTTTGAGTATTTGGGTAAATACAAATCTGCTCAGACATAGAGTGAAAGTCCACAAGGCTGGGCAAAGAGGAAGGGCCAGGATAAAGAACATATTAAGAAAGTATAAGCTGAATACTTTCCAGAATTCACCCAAGGCTATAAATTGATTGGTTCCCAGAATGGAGAAATCTCACTGAATATAAGCCTCATTTAACAAGACAACTACAAAGAGGCTTTAATAGTAAAACTTTCCTAGACCTAAGCAAAAGTTATCCTAAACAAACTATAAAAATGTTTTTAAATGATCTAAGTAATGTTAAATTGCTACATCACACATCTGATATTAATATAACACTGTTTGTTAATTGTACTGAAATTTTTAAAAAATGTTTTTAAATGAGCCTGAAAAAGATTAAGCCGTTCTACAAGTAACTTAACTGTTGGACCAAAAATAAAAAACCAACCAAAAAACAATTTTCAAAAGCATTTAAAGAAGACAATAAAACCAACCCACTCAACTATACATTTATAACATCCAGCATCCAATTTTTAAAAAAATCACTGTACATGTGAAGAAAAAGGAAAAATGTAACCCGTAAGAGGAAAATCAGTCAGTAGAAAGAAACTCAGAAGTGACAGAGATAACAAGATTACAATTTAAAAATGGCTACTATACACATTATAATATATGCATAAGGATCTAAAAAAAATCATGAAAATAATGGAAAAAACCAAAAAGTTCCAAAGATGAAAAATAAAGTATCTCAAATGAACATTTCACTGGATAGAATGAATAGAAGATGTGACACTGCAGACAAAAAGATGAATGAATTTAGAAAGAGAAATAGAAAATCATCCAAAATAAAAAGCCTAAAAAAATGAGCAGAGCCAGACGTGTATAATATCAGCCAATTTTAACATGTAACCAGAGTTCCAAAAGGAGAAAGGAGAGGAAGGAAATAGAAAAAAATATTTGGAGAAATAACGGCCAAAAGCTTCCCATTTTTGATGAAAACTATAGGCTCATAGCCCAAGAAGTTCAACAAATCCCAAGCAGAAGAAACATGAAGAAAATGACACCAAGACATATGTCATAATCAAACTGCTAAAAATCAGTCATAAAGCAATAATCTGAAACACAGGTTGAGGGGAAGAAAAGACATATTGTGCACAGAAAAACAAAAATAAGAATTACTGTATGCTTCTTATCAGAAAAATGCAAGCAAATAATAGAACAACATTAAAAAAATATATTTGTAATGTTTGCTTATTTTAGTGAGAGAGGGTGAGCAAGCAGGGGGAGGGGTAAAGAGAGGGGGACAGAGGATCCAAAGTGGGCTCTATGCTGAGAACAGAGAGCCTAATGTGGTGCTTGAATTCAGGAACCCTGAGATCCCATGAGATCATGACCTGAGCCAAAGTCCAACGCTTAACCAACTGAGCCACCCATGCACCCAATGGAACAAACATTTTTGAAGTGCCAGGAAAAAAGAACTTATATCCAGAATGTATAAAGAACTCTCATAGCTCGATTATAAGAAAGTAAATAACCTCATTTAAAAATGGGCAATCATTAAGGAAATGCAAATAAAATCATAATGAGATGGCGCTATACATCTCTGAAGGAGATAAAATTAAATTGACCACACCAATTGCTGGTGAGAATGTGGAGGAACTGGAACTTTCATACACTTACTATGGGAATGTAAAATGGTGCAACCAGTTTAGAAAACTGTATGGCAGTTTCTTAAAAAGTTAAACATATAAAACATGATCCAGTCATTTCATAAGTAGAATTTACCCAAAAAAAATGAAAGCATGTGTATATTTGTAATAACCAAAATCTGGAAACCAAAATGTCCGCCAACAGATGGAAAGGATAAACAAATCCAGGCATATGCCTATACTACTACTCAACAAGAAAAAGGAATTAAACCAATGATAGATGATACGTGTATGAATATTAAAATAATTTTGCCAAGTAAAAAAGACTCACAAATAAGAAAACAAACTGTAGAATTCTATTATATGAAATTCTAGGAAATGCAGATTAATCCTTAGTAACAGAAAGCTGATAATAGCTCCCTGGGAACAGGGATGGGTAGGGCAGGAAATACAGGAACAGGAGAGAGGAACTACAAAGAGGCACAAGGAAACTTCTAGAGATAAGTATGTATTTGTTCATTAAGTTGACTGTGTGCAGGTTTCACAGGTATATACATATACTAAAACTTATCAAATTGTACACTTTATACATATTTATAACTCAATAAAGTTGTTGGAAAAAAACATTTACAACACCATTCAAAAGCATGAAACACCAAGTCATACATTTTTAAAAATATGTTCAAGATCTTTACATTGAAACTATAAAATATTGCTACAAGAAATAAAAGAAGACCTAAATATGCATTTGTGATCAGCATCAGGTGATATATGGAACCAGGTGATGTATGGAATGGTTGAATTACTATATTGTATACCTGAAATCAATATAACACTGTATGTTAACTAGAATTAAAATAAAAACAAGAGGAAGAGAGGGCGCCTGGGTGGCTAAGTTGGTTAGGCATCTGACTTCAGCTCAGGTAGTGATCTCATAGTTCGTGAGTTCAAGCCCCACGTCAGGCTCTGGGTTGACAGCTGAGACCCTGGAACCTGCTTCAGATTCAGTGTCTCCCTTTTGCTCTACCAATCACCCATTCATGCTCTGTCTCTCTCAAAAATAAACAAACATTTAAAAAAAATTTTTTTAAACAAGACAGTAAAAGAGGGAGGGGGGAGGAGGGGGGAGGAGAAGGAGTGGGGGGAAGAGAGGAGGAGAAGGAGAAATGACAACAACAACTAAATAAATGCGGAGATATACCATGTTCATGGATTGGAAGATTCGATATTGTTAAAATGTCCACTCTCCCACAATTTATATGCTCAATGCAATGGCAATCAAAACCCAGCAGGCTTCTGTGTAGAAACTGACAAAGAAATTTTAAAATGTCTTGGGAAATACAGATGACACAAAATAGTCAAAATACTTAAAAGAGACCAACAATAAAGTTGGAAGACTCATACTATCTAGTTTCAAGACTCAGTATAAAGCTACAGTAATCAAGACTAACACATTAATCAGTAAAACTGAATACAGTCCAGAAATAGACCCACACATGTATCTGGATTAGTTTTCAAAAAAGATGCCAACAGAATTCAATGGGACAATTTCAACAAATGGTACTGGAACAAATGTACATCATATGAAAAGAAGTGAACCCCAACTCTTACCTTACACCATACACAAAAAAATTAAATCAATACACATCATAGACCTAAATATAAAAGCTAAAACTGTTGAGCTTCTAGAAAAAAACATAAGAGAAAAAACTTTGTGAAATTGGGGTTGGCAAAGATTTCTTAGATAGGAAACACAAAATGTATAAATCTTCTAAAAATGTGGTCACTTGGACTTCATTGAAATTTAAAATTTCTGTTTTTAAAGCCACTGTTAAAGAAATGAAAAAGCTAGCCATACACTTGGAGAACATATTCACAGTATAAATATCTGAGAAAGGACTTGTATCAAGAGCCCTTTACAACACAATAACAACAAAATCCTAAACAGAAAAAAAGACACACAAATAGCCAATAGCACATGAATGCTCAGTATCACTATTCATCAGAGAAAAGCAAATTAAAACCACAGAGAAATACTACACACCCACTATAATACCTAAAATTAAAAAGCCTGACAATATCACGTACTGACAAAGATAAGCAAAGAGCTCTCATGCACTGCAGGTAAAATGTAAAATGGTACTATACCTTGCCCCCCTATCATATGACTCACTTATTCTACTCCTTGGTATTTACCGAAGAGAAATGAAATCATATATTCACATACTACAGCTTTCTTCATAACAGTCCCAAACTGGACACAACCCAAATGTTCTACAACAGGTGAATGCCTAAATAAATTGTGGTATATTCATACCATAAATTAGTCATAACAATAAGGAATGAACTACTGCTTCACACAACATGGATAATTCTCAAAAACATTATGTCACACAAAGACTCCAGACACCAGAGTATATATTGTATGATTCTATTTATAGGAGATTCTTAAAAAAAATGATACAAAGCAGATCGGTAGATGCCTGTGGCTCAGGGTAACAAGGGCAAATAACTGTAAAGGGGCATGAAGGGACACCTGAAGGTTACAGAAACGTTCTATATCTTGACTGTGGTGATGCTGGTGGCTGAATTGGTGTTAATATTTGTCAAAACTTATTATCAAACTATACACTTAAAATGGATGAATTTTAATGCATGTAAACTAGATCTCAATGATGATTAAAAATAGGCAATATATTGTTTAGGCACAATATAGATGATAAAACAATTTTGTTTTCATGGGGCGCCCGGGTGGCTCAGTCGGTTAAGCATCCGACTTCGGCTCAGGTCATGATCTCACAGTTCGTGGGTTCGAGCCCCATGTCAGGCTCTGTGCTGACAGCTGGCTCAGAGCCTGGAGCCTGCTTCAGATTCTGTGTCTCCCTCTCTCTCTGACCCTCCCTTGCTCGCGCGCGCGCGCTCTCTCTTCCTCCCTCTCTCTCTCTCAGAAATAAATAAAAACATTAAAAAAAAACATAATTTTTTTTTCAAAACAAGGTAATTATGACCATAAAAAATTTTTTAAAATATGTAATCCTGGGTTAGGGGGCTATTTGGAAGGAGGTGGGGATTTTTTTTTTTCAAAGGGAGGAATAATGCACAGGTAGGTTCAATTAACATTAACGCTCTAGTTCTTAGGTTAGGTAATAGTCACACTACTGTAAGTAAATATACAAAATAAGAAAGACACACATGGAAAGCAATGACAACACTGTGTCACAATTAATCCAATTCTGTGGATCTGAGTCACAGATACAAAAAAAAAAAAAAAGGTAGTCACCTCACCCATATATTTCCCATGTCTCTGATGTGGGGAATATGCGAATAAATCCACCTCTCCGATCATTTTCTTCCTTCACTCTCCGTAAAACTTTGATCTACATAAAGAGAAAATAAAATGAGTACCAATTTTGGAAACCGTAATCCATAAGCTTATAGGCCAAAAGAAAGAGGGTTATGACCCACGAATATGAAAGAAGCATGAAGGGAGAAATTATTCCATATAAGATGGAATTTTCTAAAAACAAGTTTTCTGAGAATAAGTTTCTCCCATCTTGAATCTTTCTAATGTAAGATATGAGTTGGTCATAAACATTATTAATTGCTCACTAATGTTTACTGAACCCTGTGTTAACCCACAAAGGCCTGAGATGGAGTTATCTTTACCTCCTCCATTGACAGACCAAGCACAGAACCACCTAACTTCCCCGGCACCTTCTCTCGGGCTGAGCCCACAAGGTTTTTCATTTCCGCATCACTGGCAGAGAGTGGACGGGAACGCTATGGAGAAGGACAAACAGAAACAAAATGTTTTCATCACCTTTCTTCATTTCCCTCTATTCAGTCCCTCAGCATCATTGTCTTTCCTAATATGGATAAGCTCGACTCCAAAGTCCATTTTCTATAATTACTCTCTTAGCCTGAGACCCTGGGAAATAAATGAAAGCCAGTAGACTCAAAGGCAAAAAGAGAAAACAGAATAGAAGGGAAATGCTATGGGTTGAGAGGGAAACAAGCAGAAAAACAGAAGAGATGGCCATGTGATCATCTAATCCAATACTTACTCCTACTCTTGGTCTGAGAGTTCATCCAATATTTTCAAAGATATGGGAAAAGACTTGAAAATAACTGCCATGTAAGATTGAATGTGCATTTATTTTGATAAATAACAATATTCTTTTCAGTATTGGACAAGGAGAGTTAGGAGAAGTAAGATGTAAGACAGAAAACCAACGAACAATTTACTATGTCACAGGTGAAAGTTGGGCCGTGGGCTGTTTTAGAACCCGTGGCGGGAGGGTAGGGAATACTGAGATGAGTCACCAGTGAATCAGAAATGAGCTGTGACCAAAAGACACACTGTGACTGCTGGACTTCAAGCGACCTTGAACAAGGATGACTGCCTTAGACACTTCAAGGAGGAAGCCAAATGGGCCATACTCCTCACAGCCTTCTGAAGGATGATCACAAAGGTCATCTGAGAATGCAAGTTTTAAGTAATTTCAATGTTAGGTGAGCAGAAAAATATCAAGGTAACAAAGGAAGTCAGATGGTATGGTATGATGATAACACAGATAGTGTGTTAGCCAGGTAAGGGTAACACACTATTATTGAAACAGATAAAGTGACTGATAAAATAAGACAAGTACATCTGCCAAGATGGGAGATTAATAATTCAAGAAACATGGGTGTGAATTGTCTTTCTAGATACCTGGAAGTGACTCTGACCAGAAAGAAGCAGTCCTATTGTCAAGAACTTAGTTTTCTCTTTGGGTAGACCACCTACGGAAAGGCTTTGGGTAACTAACCTTTGACCTTCTCAGCAATACTCACAGTTACAGACTAAAGGTTTGGGTCCCCCTACTAATTGTTTGTTGAAGCCCTAACCCCCAACACAATGGTATTTGGAAACAAGGCATCTGGGAGGTAATTAGGATTACATGAGGTCAGGAGGGTGAGACGCTGGCTTGATGAGACTAATACCCTTAAAAGAACAGGCATCAGAGTACAGCTTGTGTACTGCCGAGTATGGAAAAAGAGGTCATGTGAGCATTCACCTACAAGCTAAGGGTAGAGGCCTCAGAAAGAAACCTGCCTTGCTGGCTCTTTGGTCTTGGACTTCCGAGCCTCTAGAACTGTGAGAAATAAATTTCTGTGGTTTAAATCACCAAGTACATGGTACTAAGTTATGGCAACCCAAGCGAACTAAGAGTACACACCTGTCTGTATACATGAGTGCTTTCACCTTTGACATGAGGGAGACCAATACATACTAATCTTCAAAGCTAGCCCGGGAGTTATAAAAGATAGATTTTCTAGTAGGTAACTCTACGATGAAACACCATTACGAAGAAAAACCATGAAATCAGCAGACAGACGCAATGTGTTTTACCTAAACAGCTTTTCCTGTAATATCTTCTAAGTACCCAGAACAGTACATGACATGGAATAGGAGATCAATAAATACTTGTTGAACAAAGAAATAAATGAATGAATGTCCTGACACACAGTTTAATCATGTTTAGAACTCAATCTTGCAGAGGATTTTGGGGAAATTTTTAATTCCTTTGCAATGTAGTCCTCTGGGACTACACTAAACAGTATACGTTGGCATGAAAGGGGAGTCAACGGGAAAGTTTAAAGATTTAGGAAGGTAATCACGTAAGTAAGTTAATCTTTTCAAAAATTTTTTAAAGTATGAATGCTTACTTAGTATATAATTTAGTAAAGCCAAAATATTAACTGGATGCTTTAAGGACTTTTCTCACACACTACTTATCGTTGGCTAAAAATACTTTATTCCACATGTGATGACATGGCTCTGATCAGAAGGCCACTGGCAGTCAAGTGCCTTATCCAAGGCCAAGTTGCCTTATCACTCACACTATTTAAGAGTACCTTAAAGTCCTCTAAAATTATTGTAAGAGAGAGTATGAAGTAAGCACTCATTTAAATGACATAACAAGGGGCACTTGGGTGGCTCAGTTGGTGAAACGTCCAACTTTGGCTCAGGTCATGATCTCCAGATTCATGAGTTCGAGCCCCACATCAGACTCTCTCCTGTCGGTGCAGAACCTACTCTGGATCCTCTGTTCCCCTCTCTCTGCCCCTCCCTGGCACATGTGCTCATTCTTGCTCTCTCTCAAACATAAACACACATTTAAAAAAAAGATATAGCAAAAGCAAAAGATTAAACCTTTAAAATAGAAAAGCTTTAATTAAGAATGTTAATAAACTAAAATCTGTACTAAAGATTAATAAAAATATTTTAAGAAATAGTTATTAACTGTTAGAATAGTTTTAAGAAATGTATGGTTGTAGGCACTAGGTGGCTCAGCTGGTTAAGTTTCTGACTTTTGATTTTGGCTCAGGTCATGATCTCACGGTTCATGAGACTGAGCCCTGCAATGGGTTCTCTACTGACAAAACAGAGCCTCTCTCTCTCTGCCCCTTCCTCTGCGCATGTGTTCATGCGCTTGCTCACTCTCTCTCTCTCAAAATAAGTAAATAAATACTGAGAGACAGACAGGGCGTGCTCACGAGCACATGCGTGAGCAAGTGGGGGAGGGGCAGAGAGAGGTGGACAGAGGATCCAAAGCAGGCTCTGCACTGACAGCAGCCAGCCAGATATGGGACTCGAACTCATAAACTGCTAGACCATGACCTTGGCTGAAGTCAGACATTCAACTGACTGAGTCACCCAGGGACTCCAATAAACATATTTTAAGAAAAGAAATGCATGGTTGTATTTATAAGAATATGGATCAAATCACTATTGAATAACATCTAATTAGCACCCCTGATTTTTTTTATTTTATTTTTTTTGTCCTTGTTTTTGTTTTATTGCTCATTTCTTGTCTGTTGTTTTACTGTTTTGTAATTTTTTATTTTTTTTTTTTTTTTTTTTTTTTTTTTTTTTTTTTTGCCTTTTTAGGACCTAATTGTTCCAAAATGGAATAATGTTCCTGGCTTCCAGAGATTGAGATTATAATGGTGTTGCAACCTTCCTCTCCTAATCTAAATCTGCTCCAGAAAACAGTGCATTGGTGCTCCAAAATTCTTAATCTTCTCTCCCAGTCACTTTCAGAGAGTTGTCTCCCATACACATTCAGAAACACTCCTCTGTTATCCACAATCCACAGTTCTAACTCTAGCCACCTGTGCGTGCATAGGCGCTGTCTGAGTGTGGCATGGAAGAATTCAGGAGGTGCTCCTGGCTGGGGCCTTGGGGAGGTGTGGAAAGGGAACGGACGGAGGGGTAATGGTGTTTGTTAGAGGAACACTCTAGCTGCGAAGTCCCATAAGGTGATGGCTTTACTCTTTTATTGCCACAAATATCACCAGGCTACAAATAAAAAGGTCAATGCTACTCCAAGAGGGGAAAAAAAAAATGTGGCTAGACACTTCTTTTATCCCTTCACCTATTTACTTCAAACGTTTAAACTGTTAAAAAGGCTGAGAGGGAGAGAAACAGGAAAAGTTTAGCTACTGAAGTTTAAGTATCTCAAATGCTTCTCTAAAATCCCCCAGGTCTCCTGTGTCTCTGGGGAAGCTACTGGAAAGTATGAGACTAGAAAGTCAGAAGTATTTTGCCAATTTCAGCTTTTCAATATACTTGAGATTACAGAGAATTTTCTTTATCAGCATAGTATCTACAGAGACGTGTTTTCATAGGTACAACAGAGCATTAAAATCTCAGATCATGGGTTGAATTCTACCAGTATTTGTTAACGAAACAAACTATTAGGAAAGGCGACCTGAATTATAGACACAGGTGAGAGAAAAGACGGAGAAAAAGTAGGAGGAGAAAAGGTAACAAATTAAAAAGAAAGACAAAAACTTCTGAATGGCAAGAAGACATACCTGGAGAGTAAAAGCAAAGCAAAAAAAAAAAAAAAAAAGCAATCAGACTGATTTGAAAAGTCATTAGGACTGCCAAAAACAAGAGCAAAACCCTCCAAATGCAAGCCGTTCTGTGGTTCCGACCTTGTGCATATCAGCGCAGCTACATTCTCTGGGTGGTAGAATAAATCCACGCATTCCAGGGCATCGGCTGAACACAGTAAGGAAATAAAGCTCTTCTGAATTTAGAGAGAACCAATGCCTCTGTCCAGATGACACAGGATTTTAACTACTGGGTGCTCAGATGTTAAACTGCCAAACTACCGCCTAGGTAAGAATTCTGCCATGCGACATGCATCAGAGATGTGAAATTATCATTAGTACAACTTATGACTCAGAAATACACCCAGAGAATAAAGTGTTACATGTCTAACCTTTATTGGGAGGGAAGAACTGACTGAGAATGTGAAATCACTGAGATGAGGAATGACCTGTCTCCACTCAAAGTAGTAAAAAACAGATGTTGAATCAGAAAAAGGATTCTCGGCCTGGAGTAAACTGGCAAGTACCAGCAACGAGAAGGGCTGAACAAAACAGGGAATACGAAAAGGGTGAAGTGTCATAAAAGATACCATAATTGAGGAGCAAAAATAAAACCTGTCTGTCAGAGAACACATACAAAGAATAAAGATGTCTCAAAGCAGTTTTACAAAGTTTGCAATTCTGTGTTAGAAACAAATGAACTAGAAACAGCTTGATTTACACGGGACACATCTTGCTACCTACAAAAGGTAAAATCAAGTTTAAAAAGTAGAATTAATGCTACCAAATGAAATAAGAGGAACAAAGAGGACCACATATGAATAAACCTGGTTGGGAAATAAACAAAAATTGGCCAACAGAACAGGCTTAAGTATAATTCATAACCAGAAGTATAC